AAGGCTGCGGCCGAAAGCCGCACAACGTGGGACCCTATTCCCTTGAGGTGAGCGGTAGACTCATGACACGCTCTGCGGCTAGTAGCCATGCTGATCATGCAATCGGTGGTGGTGCCATACACTTACATCACGTCTGCAGGAGCGGCGATCTGTCAGGTGGTGCACTCACGAAGGGTTTATGGCCAGTGCGCCTATTTGCCTAAAGCGTATGACTTACATTTACTGTGGCTGGATTTGTTCGTATTCTATATGGCATTTACACGCATTGACATGCGCGACTTCGGTCGATGTTTGTGCTTACGCACTATAAAGAGGCCAAGCCCTCACGCTCAGCGCACACGGCGTATGTGGAGCCGTATGCCTCCCCCACATTTCTTCAATAAATGTGGGAGAGCGAAACCCTTGTATCGGGTAATAATATAATATATATATATATATATATATATATATATATATATATATATATATATATATATATATATATATATAATATACTTTTACGAATACGAATATGAATACGAATATCTCGCCATGGTAATAAATAACTAATTTACTTGATGATTTTCTATTGTTTCATTAATTAGAATTTACAATAGGCAAATTTTTATTTAAAAAACATAAAGTTTGAGATTAGATTATTAGATTAGATTTTCAGGTTTTAACCGATTCCTTTTTTCTGTCTGGGTGTTCTCAGCCGTTTAAAAAAGCCTTTCAGAGGCAACTGTACATGGTTTTAGTGAAATATATTTTTGGGTGAGTTTTTTCAGCCTTGGAAAATGTACATCTTCTCGCCAATAGGCATCAGCAGTCGGTAATAAATTTAGGAGTTTTAGATAAGCGTCTCGTTTTTAGTTTGCGAATCCCCTGTAAAAAATATTTTGAAAATAAATGTAGTTCTTCTACTACGTAGATGAAAATGAGTACCTATATTTATTTGATATCGTGATTTATCGAAGTGTATCCATATGTAACTTTAGATCTCGTTTACAAGAAACATTTCAACTTCAACTTCTTTCTTTCACTTCGCAGCAACCTCACAAAACAATTAAATTTAAACAATACTCTCTTGCTTGACCTGTGGTTTTGTTCGACTGTCAAATGAAATGAATGAATCAATCCAGGGTTCGTAGTGATAGGGAAACTTCCGGAGAAGGGAATCCCCCGTCGTCCGTGATTAGTATTCGATAATACGAATATTTGTATTCGTATTCGTTGCATCACTAATATATATATTAGTAATGTAAACCTGATACAAGTGGAATAGGGACGTTTTAATGTTCTTAACCTTTCTCGAGCCCTGTCTTCGTGAACGGGGTCCACTTAGCTTATAAGGCACTGCCAACTGCTTTCAATTGCGCTAATGAATATTCCTTCTTCCAAAAGACACCCAAAAGAACCAAGTTACTAAACAAACACAACGTAAATAAGGGTCCTAACTAAGACGATCACGCCATAAATATTACAAACGGCCTATTATTAAACTTTTAGAAAGATCAAAACTTATTTATTTATCCTGGTCACAAATACAGATATATTTTATGTAAAGGGGAATTAATATAATAATAATAATATATAGTTAGAGTGGCGGGCGATTTACAACAACTACCAATAAATCGACTACGAACGTAGGTATTAGCTGTTTTTCCTTTGGTCCCTCAAGATATTATTCAAAAGTCTACTGCTAAACGTAGCGTACGGGGAATATTTGCCATATTTCCCTCACTTAGCAAGTGGTTCGGCAGCCGCAACTTTTTATGATTTTGAGTTGTCATCAGGAAGATACTGTTGCCTATCTCCTTTTTCTGGGGTCTTAGATCGGTAAGTAGCGCTGTTGTCGTGATCTAGAAAACAGTTGTGCGAAGCCGGGGCAGATCGGTAGTCAGCATATAAAATTGGAATTAAAAATGGGATCCAACTCGTTTATGTACCGTGTGTCTGTCATGACTTGGTATTCATACCTTTTTTTATAGAAGAGTCTCTAAATCGTATCGGTCCGGAAAAATCGCCGGTGGTAAACAATTCCATAGAGAAGTTGTATGAGGAAGAAAACTTCTAATAAACGCACGGTGATGGACCACCAAACATCCAGATGGTGAGGATAGTATCGTAAACTTTGACGCGATGTGCGTTCGTCAAATTTGGCGGCTGGAACTAATCCGAACAATTCCTCAGAACACACGAACGAAACACAAAGAGATGTAACATCCCGACGTGACGCCGGTGAATCGAGCCGATCAGAAAGAACTCGGTCATCGACGATTCGAACCGCTTTGCGCTGGATGCGGTCAAGTGGAAGGAACTGGCACTGGGATGCTCCGGCCCAGAAATTAGAACAGTATTCCATGTGAGGCTGAACTTACGCTTTGTAAAAACCTACCTAACTAGGTATTAGTTTTTAATGTTTGCGAAACGAATATTTCCAATGTAGTACCTATAATAATCATCTTTATTCATGATTTAGAAAACAATTTACTTGATCGCTCGAAAAATAGTAATTCTAAGTTACACATAATTTAATAGCTTCTAATGTCAAAACCTTAATTCTTCGACACACTTTATCTTTGCATTGATTGTGCAGCTGAAACCAGGTCATTTTCTGAGTACGATATTAGTTTAGTAATAAAAGCTTACGATTTATTTGCATTTACAATATTTTTAAAGTGATATAAAATACCTTATAAAACCATTGAGCATTACCATTACCATTGAACATATTATGTACTACGTACTAGAGGCGACACTGCATTCAGCTACTATGTTCCACTCAACTGCGGTGCATACACCGCACTTTAATCAGTCGCTAGACGCTTGTAGAGTTGTCACGTGTTGTGTTGATTTAAAAAAAAATCTCTTGATAAAAATATGCCGTCGTGTGTACTTGATATTGCACAAATAATTCAAGAAATATCAGTAAAAACCAAGAAACTACTTTCAATCGGTTAATAAGATACTTAATCAATAAAAAGTATTATAGATTAATAATAAAACAAATTATTCCTAAGACACCATTTCGTGTCATGGAATATAGAATATGAAATTAATATGTTCAGATGCGACATTTTTGTGGGTACTAAAGTATAGGACGATTATATTATTATACACATTTTTTGTGGAAACATATATAAGTTATTATAATTAGGCTTATTTTTCATGTTTATATCTGCTTATTATTCTTTTATTTTATGTTTAGGTTTCTACATCAAAGTCAAAGTGGAATAAATTCGTCCATTATTAATTCTCGCGTGCCCATCATTTATGAAAGACTCTTATTCTAATTTAACTAAATATATTTGTAATTTAAATGTTATGTTAATAAGTTTTGTTAAATATATATTTAGTATATATTTTATATTTGACCTTTTAAAATATTCAGATAAAAATATCATTAAAATGTAATTGTGATATAATATTATGTAATATTATATTAAATAAGCAAATATAATATACAAATTAATGACAAAATTTAAATTTAATTTAAATATTGTTCTCGATATAATTTATCTATTTAACAATATAATCTACTATTACCTACGGATCATTCTACCTATGTTTATTCTATGATAAAAGAAACAACCGCGCGAACACAGAGTATCGCACATTTTTTGTTTGAGATAGCTGTTCTAGTACGTAAGTACATATTACTTCAATGTATAAAACAAAAAAAAAACTACACACGGAGTGGGAGTATAACAAGGCCTATGGTGAAATTAATATGGCCTTAATAACTGCCAACCAAGTATTTAAGAAAAACCAAATTTAAAAAAAAATTACGTTGTCCTAATTTTTTTCACATTAATCAAATGTTCAAGATCAACAAAGCATTTATTCACACAGATAAAGATTGTGATTTTAGATAGCTAAGTGTAATGTAACAAAACATAATCTTATTCTTATCTTTATTAATCATAATTTACTTAGACTGATTTTTATTATTGGTACAGTGCGGACGTATCTTATGATAAATAATACAACTCTGGTGGCAGGGAACGAGGTAGCGCGTCTCTGCAAACTTGTAGAGACATTATCGTGTAATAGGAGTCTGTTGTTATCTCCTTGAGCGAGAGCGGTTATTATAAATACGATTTTTGTTACTTAGGCCTTATTATTATTATTATTATTACCCGCAGGTACCTTAGTCCTATTTTCTTTATTCAAGACATACAATAAAGTAATAAAAAAAATAACTAACCGCAAAAGAGTATATTGATGTCGATTGTTGCTAACATTGCAACAATCGACATTGATACACTCTATGTAACGTCACATATAATACTGCTACAATAGGAAAGTCATTTTTCTAGTAAAATAGAAGATACGAGAGTATTTACTTTTGTATTTGGCATAGTATAAAGAGACCAGAGGTGACCAATTGACATTTCTATTTCCAGTGGAAATTCCACGTATGAATAACACGCAACATCTTTCAATAGATTTGTCTCTTTTTGCCTTATTTGAAAATAAATTAGAAAAAGCGATATAAGTGTATATTGACTGAATTTACCTAGATTTTTAGGTTCTCTCTATGCATACGTAGATAGAAAATTACGCTCTATACTTTGACTTTAAGTTGCTATTTTGTACACCTTTGCTACCGGTTACCTGCCAAGGCCACAATGATCCAATGCATAGTAGCCCATTTTTCCTACCTCCCTCGTATGTTGGGAGCATGCGCTGAGAAATTTTCAGCTTTTATAAAATCAGAAAGGTCTGGCGATCACGGGCTCTCGCTCTATTAAACATTATTAATTAATTTCAACAATAAATAAGAAATCATGAGTTCTTCTTCATGAAGGTTAGATTCACTATAATTTGTCTATTTTATTAAAGCACAAATTGACAAATGACAAGCAATAATTTTGAATGAAATCTGTAAAATTATGAGTATCGACTCATTAAATACTATGAAAACTATATTAAAGGCAAAAATTTATAAAAACTGTTTGTAATGCAGTTAATTAAAGTAAAACTAAAATAGTTATGTGGTTAAAACACAAATTGGTATGGCCACTGAGAAGCTGGAACTAATAGCAACACAATCGGATTTACACTTGCTACGAGAAAAGGGGTTCATTTTAGAAAAGTTAATCGGTGAGGGATCATATGCTAAAGTAAGTAGAAAACCATGATTAAACGATAAGTAAGAATGGTTATAGAAATATGAGGTAAAAGCTTTTTCCAGGTTTTCAAAGCAACGCAAATGATCGACGAGACTCGACACTGCGTTATGGCATGCAAAGTGATAAATACAGCACAGGCCCCACGCGATTATCTCCTAAAATTTTTGCCGCGAGAATTGGATGTCCTTATTCGTGTCAATCATCCACATATAATACACGTATCTAATATACTCCAACGTCGTGCTAAGTATTTTATTTTTCTGCGCTTCGCTGAGCACGGAGATTTGTTAGATTTCCTAACGCACCACGGGGCCTTACCTGAAAAGCAGAGTCGGCTTTGGATGAGACAAATCTTGTCCGGAATTCAATACATACATGCTTTGAATATTGCACATAGAGATTTGAAATGTGAAAATATTTTGATAACAGCAAATTATAATGTGAAGATAACGGATTTTGGTTTCGCTAGGAACGTAAGACTGAGAGATCGCGATGTTGTTAGTGAGACATATTGTGGCTCTCTCTCATATGCAGCGCCGGAAGTATTGAAGGGCGTGCCATATTTGCCAAAACTATCGGATATGTGGTCTATTGGAATAATTTTGTATACGATGCTTAATAAAGCCCTACCTTTTAATGAAACGTCTGTGAGAAAACTTTACGAGAAGCAGGTTACTTTTTAATTTATCTGTTTCAAAGATTTTTGGTACCATTCTTGACTGTTTAAGATAATTATTTTTAATTCAGTTTATCCACTCAAAGGTAATTTTATACTTTCGCGGTCTCTTCGTTTTTTGGCTCTAGAAAATCGAAAAATCATCCGATTTCGACGATTTTTAAAAAAATCTTCGTTTTAAAGGCGGATCTATCAAAAAAAAAAAATGTAAAATATCTCACCTGAAGATTTCATATAGTTTTATTACTTTAAATGTAATAAACGCTCTAGAAAATCGAAATAATTATAAAAGTTAATAGTTTGGTGTTTTATTGAGTGTAAGATCGAGCGAAGCGAGTTCGGGACTTAAGGCATCCCAACTCGGACAGGTTAGGTTAGAAGGAGATGGCCGATCGACTAAGTGAGCGAATAGACCCCGCCATCTCCTTCGTGGTTATTTTTTTATAAACCACTCAGAAGTAGGAGTCCCGCGAAACGGGGCTCCGTTGACCGGACTTCCATCGACTACGCTACGGGAGAGAGTTGGGGAAGGGAAGCACCACGCCACTCAGCGTCAAGCCTCACCTGTCCGAGTTGGAATGCCCTAAGTCCCGAGCTCGCTTCGCTCGACCTTACACTCAATAAAACACCAAAATAAAAAATTTATAAACAAACATTTTCCAATATTTTTTTAATGTTTTTTTTTGTGTAGATTATTAAAAAAATATAACAATATCATTCGATTATTTGTCAAAAAGTTATCAACAATTATACGTGAATGAGTGCATTTTCGTGAACATTTAAAGCCCTGAAACCAATATAATTTAAACATTTTTATTTAGTCCTGTAATTTTTTTCGTAAATCCGCCGTAAAAACTAAGATTTTTAAAAAAAATCATCGATATCGGATGATTTTTCAATTTTCTAGAGCCAAAAAACGAGGGGACCGCGATAGTATAAAGAAAAAAAAAAAGGAAAGATAGTATAAAATTACCCATTCAAACGCCGCGGGGAACCGTGGTACTCGAAACAAAAAACAAGTTGTCCGCCACAGGCTATTAGGGGCCCCTCAAGACAGTGTAATAAAATGTCATAAAAATGTAATAACGCGTCTTGTCTATGAAAATCTTTGAGTATTCAACCAATACTCAAAGAGGTAAGGTTGGTAGCCATTGGTAGCACTATTCAAGCAGAAGGTCAACCAAAAATAAAACTACTAATTAGTTAGCAATCTGTGATAATAATATGGTAAACATATATTAACTGTCTGTGAATAAGTGTAAACATTCTAGTATTATTAGAAAGCTCTAAGGTCTAAGGAAATCTAGTGAATTTTAATACAGGGTGTTAGTGTAAACACCGTTATCCTTGAAACCAGTGGTTTGGTTTCACTTATAGAACGTAAATTCAATGAAAAATAACAACTTTTTTTTAGTTAAATCTCAATTTTTCCTTAATTCCTCAATTTTTGCCTTTCCTAAGCCAGGATAAAGTATGAAGGAAAAGTTACATCACAGGTTATGTGTACCTATTGTGTTTTTATTGGAATGTTGCGTAGGTAGCTAGCGTGGGCGGTGATCTTTACAGTGATTACGTCACTCGGGCGCATAGGGTATCCATTAATTTACGGACGGTGTCGGACAGAAACTTTTTAAATTTTATGAAAGAAAATTGCGTTTTTTTTTTAAATTCATTGAATTTACGTTCTATAGGTGAAACCAAACCACTGGTTTCAAGGATAACGATGTTTACACTAACATCCTGTGTAATTAAAATGGATATGAAGTTAAGGGGTTTTATTACATAAATATTTTTTTAGAGGCATGTCAGTTTTTATTTGTTAAGTTTAACCTTTTTTTTTGTTTCAAACAAAATTATACTTCTTGATTTTTAGATAGTTAAGTTGCTTAAATAGTCAGCTTTACAGTATTTTTTTATATTGATATAGCACTAATAGGTTGCTAACGATAGTGGTTTTTATCGCCAAGGTCGGAAGTAGTCATGCGCAAAACAGTGCGTTTTAAAGTGATGTAATATGACATTACATTTCGTACCGAGGAATGTTGCATTACACCATGACTCAAAACATGACGCGAAATGACGTGCTAGTGCCACACGCGATGGCCATTGTTATGAAATGCTCGCGTGGTAGTAGAAGATATATACATACATCATTTCAATGAGATACCGCGTTATCATGGTGTGACATGAGAATCGTCAAACGAAATGCGCCCTCGCTACGCCGGAATGTATCTACACCTTCTTTTGCTATACATAAAGTCGATTTTCCTTCATACTTAACCCCAATCTACGGAATCATTTAATCAAAGGGGCATTCCAAGCTTAGGACTGGCAATAAACATGGATTGCAATATTGATTATTGACCAAGTCTATAAATATTGGCGTATTTAAAAATCGATTTCATATATAAAATACTGAAAATATGTAATATGAACACCGAACAGCACGGCGGCGCGCGGCCCGCGCGCGTCATGTTTGAGTGTCATGTGTCATGCTTAATTTGGTCGAGTCATGTGTAATGCTACAGTACGCGGTCGGGTTATATGACGCGCAATGCAACAATCGCATTACTTACACAAGTCTAGTCGGAAGTGATCGAATAACATTACATTTTATTAGCCGAAACAACCGCTGGCGGTTGACCGAAAGTTGGCAGCGCCGCGGTTGAGTGGCTGCGCTTGAGTGGCTATTAACTATTATAGTTAAAGATTATTGCCCTATAGCTTCTAGCTTTTTATTTCATATGCTGGTCTATGCTTACTATACTCTTTGAGCTGATCGTTGGCTGATTTAAATATGAGATATAGTTGATATTTTCATCAAAAGTTAAATGTGTAACACGTCATTCATCGGGTGAAATTGATTATGATTTTGTGCTCACAGGCGAAAGATTAACCGGGAGGTTAGGGCATAGTGCCAAACGGTTGTCAAATTCTTCAAACACACAAATTGTATATTCGATGTAGGTAATGCGTAAGTGGCGTTTCCGGACCAATGTTGTTAATCAGCTTTCTACTGAGTGCAAGCAGCAGGTGACGATGCTTATGGAGCCGGATGCTAAACAGCGCCCAACAGCTGGTAGCATCGTTAACGGTGCTTGGATCGCTATGGATCAAAAACTTGCAAGTTAGTAAGTGATAAAAATGTTAAGTTTTAACGACATGCGTAATTTTTTTAGATTGATTTTTCTTCAATTTTTAATACAATTCGTACGAAACCAATGCGACTTAGGGATCTTCAAGAAAAAAAAGCCTATTTTTTTAAAGGCCGGCAATGCATTTGCAATTCCCCTGGTGTTGCATTGTTCATTGACGACGATATTCACTTACCATCAGATGAGCCGCTTGCTCGACCTCCCCCCCCTCCTCTTTATATATATATATATATATATATATATATATATATATATATATTAAATACGAACTTCATCGGCCTCATTGCGAAAGCGGCGCCAAGAGTTTGACCTTCACGGATTTCATGTGAGAAAGGCTAAAAGGTTGTCCTCTCACAGATCTCAGAACGACGTCCTCCGAAAATCTCTTACCTCTATATTTCCTCGGTTAGAGTACACAGAACACGCACTGCGCTGTACAACCGTATTCTTGTTTTCATGTTTTGAGGCATTAGTGACGAGAAGATCTGTCGTAATCTACCGGATGCTGCCCAGCAGAGATAAATCCGTCGTTTTAGTTCTCAGTCGAAGTTGGACTAACCTAGTCAGACAATTTGTCCTAGATAAGCATACTTGTTAACTACTTCGAGTTTACTCCCACCAACTACCGGTATAGGTGTGACATGGACGTTACACATGACCTTTGTCTTGTCCATGTTCATTGTAGGACTTATTCGATGGGAGACTTCATTGAGGTCATTGAATAGAGTGCTGCGGACATCTAGCGATTCTGCCACAGTGACTAGGTATATCGTCGGTAAATCGAAATGTAAAAGACAGAGAATCTACTCGTCGTAGAAATTAGTGTCTGTCCATACTTATAAAAGTACATTAACAATGTCGAAGACTTCTTTAGATATTTTAAGCATGGTCGGATTAAAATATGACGTTTAAATTAAATAAATGAGTCCAAGTAATACTAATTTGAATAAAAAAGAACCATCAAAACTTGTAGTATGTAGTCTCGTGCGTTTCCCATCTGTATGGTTAACTTTTCATAATCTATGATTTTCATATAGAAATGGCAGCCACGTGGCAACGGTAGTAAACAGTTAAAATTAACAAATATAAATAACCATATTGAAAAAAAAAGTCATTAAGCATTTACGATTTCATACATTCAGGCGTCTATTTTACGTACCACCTTCGGTATCAACCAGTTGTTCGATAAAGTGACTATCTATAGAATGAAGTAGGTGGCGCTATTATAATTTTACAAAAAATATTGTGTCTTATTATATATATCTATATATATATATATATATATATATATATATATATATATATATATATATATATATTAAAAGGATTGTTACATTTATTTACTATAAAATTAAATTTTCTTATATTTTATGCCGAACTTGTAGTTTAAATTATAGTATTAAATAAATTACATGTAAGTAATGTTTGTATAAAGGCATAGCGCAACCTTGGATTGATAATGCGCCTTGCAAATAATTTCACAAACGTCAGGGCTCTCAGAGCGCTATATGATGCACTCGCATCCACTTAGCCACTTAGAGTGTAACGCCGTCATTTGGGCTCCTCATGAAGTCAAATACAAATTTATGTTAGAGCTGATCCAAAATAAATTTATTAGATTCATGTACTTGAAACAATTTGGAGTGTACCCGGGCTATCCCTTGTTGTATCCTACTCTATTTTTGCTCGGTATGGTAGGATACTCCAAGCTCGAAGTTAGAAGAGAAGTAGCTCTCGCTATGTACGTGTTGAAGGTGATGAGGGGTAGAATCACGGAGCAAATATAAAGGGTAGAATACACAACCCGAGAGTGCTGGAGATGGTGCGACTCAATGCGCCGGATGGGTGCGCGGGGCGTCGGCGGCGGCCGTCGTTGCTGGCGGTGCCGCGCGCGCGCACCGCACTGATGCAGCAGGCGCCGCTCGCGCGCGCGCTGCGTGTGATCAACGCCATGTCGGAGCGAACTGATTTGTTTTCATGTTCGCTGAGTGAGCTCAGTAGAGTGGCATATGGTATTGTATCGTTGGCTACACTGTCGAATTAGGGTGCTCATCCTGTAATGACTGTTTATGTTGTATATATATAAAATAAAAAAATAGTTTACAGTAAAGTATTTGTATTTTATATTTCCTTTCACTTGAAGGTTTCACTTTTGTCGCGTGCGAGCTGAACGCATGTTTTTTTTAATTTCTAATTTTATTGCGAGGGGCGTGATCTAGAAAATCTGAAATGTTTTTTGAAAAAAAAAACGATTGATAAAAAAATGCTCTTTATCTTATATGTAGTCTAAATAATGGCACATTAATAGATATCTACCATCGATGGTCAAAATACATAAATACATTGTTCGTGATACCATTTTGCAGAGTTAACATTTTTAGAAGAATCACTTCTAAAACAAGCCGAGGAAGAGTCACAGAGAAAAGAACGTGAGCATATTGCAGAGAGCGAAGTCGAGAGGATCGCTGAGTTGCGACGGAAAGCCCGCGGAAAAGGTATTCCTACGTTTATAAATTACTAACTACCCTCGACTTCGTCCGCATTGCTTAATATTTGATATATTTATTTTATACGTGGTAGAGCCATGCTGCAGTTATATTAGTAGTATAGTTGTAGCACGAATGGGTCGGCTCGATCGGGGAAGCACCACGCTTTCACAGAAAACCAGCGTGAAATAGTAGCTCAATGCTGCTGTGTTTCGTATGGTTAGTGTAAAGAACCAGAGACCCTTTTTACTGGAAACGAGGCATTCCATCTTAGTCCTCAGGGGTGACAACGCATCTGCATTTTGATTTGTAATTGAGGATAAATGTAGATGTCTATGGGCCGCATCAACCACTTTCCATCAGGTGGACTGTGCGCTCGTTTGTCACCCTATCCTGTAAAAAAAATATTAACAAAATACTCGTATATGCGTAAGAAAAAACATCAAAAAGATAGCAAGCAAAAATATACTTTTCTAACAAAAATTATTAGTAAACAATGTTATTCGCTGCTCCGTTTGAGGCTAAAATATATAAATTATCTCGGTTAGTAACGCGAGAGCAAGCAACTTATAGTTAACCGTGTGAAGTAAAGCTAGCTAGCAATATTCAGCGAAGTTATCATCAAAGTTACGGTTGAATCTCAGTGCCCCCGCCAAATTGAGCAAAAAAGCGGACGGTCGTACCATACTTTTCTCGAAGCAATTCACGCCATTTCCGCCTAAGTCAATCTATTTATTTAAAACATAAAAGATTTTTAATATTGATATGGTCACCATAAGATGTTGTTAGGTTAGCTAATTACGTAATAACTTAAGACAGAAAGACCCTTAAATAGGGACTGAATAAATTAACCGACTTGGTATTACATGGATCTCACAACTTTTTACGATAGAAGGACAGAGTTGCGAGATTTTGTTTTTTACAATTTATGTTTTTGATGGCATTTTTATAAAATTGTAACGGTTAACATAGCGAGAAAACACACATCACTGAATATGTAATGTTTATAAAAATAGTTGTTTCTTAAAACTTTAACTTTATATTAATTGAAAATATCGCAATATTTTTTTTAGATAAGGGCCAATTGTCTAAAAAAATAAAACTTAGAAAACCTAATTGGAACCTATTCATTAGTTTTAGTTTGATGCGCGCATAACTGCAAACCTCTATCGTTTTATTTATACTATAGATAGTCAGTCTGAACAACTGAACCAAGAAATGTACTACTCCCTAAGGAAGTCTGAACCCAACTATGAAATAAGGTGGTACCTCATACGATAAGCACGCATAATGCAATCAGTAGTCCACCAGGCAAATGTTGCGATTACCCAAATCGTACTTAAAAGAAATGGGCTTGCATTGGGCTACTTTCAGGCTGATGTGAGATTAAGAAAATATTACTAACCTGCATATTTAATATTAAATAATCCATAATTGAACTTTATTAAATCTTTCTTCTATTTTTGCTACGTAAGATGCTCAATTAATGTCTGTTTCAATTATTGTTAGAAAAAACGACGAAGGACAGAAAAGTAGTATAAACTATTTGATGCGTAGTCAATGGGCGCATTCTAAATACGTGATACAAAAAAAGGGGCGCGGTTGGTTTTACTTTACTCCGCCTCGACTCGAATCGGAAGGGGCAACATTTTATTTTAACGAAAAATGTATTTCTTGTAACGCTTTCGTGTAGCGCAGTCGGCGCTGCTATTCCGATTTTGCTAATACACTACTGCTGTGTATTTAAATTCAAGAAGTGAACCAGGTATTTTTATGCAGTTAAGCATCGAATGGAATGAAATGAATTGCTTTGGAAACCATAATATCGTTTTGTCTAGAGAAATAAGAAAGGAAAAAAGTTTACCAATGTACGTACATGTCCAGTAACATCCTTTTAAAAGACAGTATAATCGGATGTTATAAAACCGAAATCGTGGTGCTATGTACGATTTGAACAAATATTTTTTATTGAATAAGGGTGACAAACAAACAATTCTTCCTATGGTAAATAGATGCTGTGGTCTAGAGACATCTACATCTATCCTGCGATAGAATGCCTCGTTTCCAATAAAAAGGATCTCCAGTTCTCTAAGCACGGCAACATTAAGCTGGTATTTTACGTAGGTATTCTGTGAGATTCTTTCCCCGGTCCTGCCGGGGTTTCAGTATTCTGTTGATTAAGCCACTAGATATTGCTGAAATGCAGATCTGTCTCAAGTTAGATTTTAAAATTTTCGTCAGGCGCTCGCAGTATCCGACACCTTTGCTGCTGATATCAATCATCAGTCTGAATAAACTGGACCGTGACCACTTTATTTTCAAGTATGTGTCTTTTGAAAAATAACAAGTAATTCGAAAATCAACATAATTTTTTTTATAAAATTATTATACTTACATGTAATATCTTCAGGTATAAGAAAAATATTTATCTTTCAAATCTGAATAACATATTGTTTTTGTGGGTTGAAACATTTCTGCACAATACGGTCTAATTATTACTCACAATAGCGTACATCAGAACGTTGATACTGTCACCAATTATATAATTAAATAATAATATAATTTCACAGAACTCCACATTATTGACTTTTGCCATTCTCGTCTGTTTTGGAGTCCCCGAATAAGTTCGCCTTTCTGTCATTTACATGAAGACTAGGAAGATTTAGACTCCAGTACTGTTTTATACATTAAAACAGTAATACCCATAGCATACTATAATAGACAATAGAATGGCTGTCAACCTTATTTTGTACGACGATAGGCGTCGCCGGGAGCACACATACAAGCAATTATGTCGTATTATCACTACTACAAACCCGATTCGCTGTGTTGACAGACAGATTTTAATACATATTTATTTGTAAATAGCGTGCAATTTGGCATTTTCTAAATAATTTGCATGAAAAACGATTGTAACGTCAAAACACATCTCGTGTTGACGTTTATACGTGTGAATTGACGTGTTTGTGACATTTTAGTGGCTACACTGGCTCCGGCCACTCCCCCATTCTATTATGTATGTATTGTAGTATTCTATGGTATTACCTATCTAAAACAGCAGTACCTAATTAGTAACACAATTATTTGATGTATATATATATTCTTTTTTATTGCAGAAGGTCTCAAAGTATTGAAAACAAACGACACAATATATCGAAAATCACAATCGATTTTTGACATCAAGGAACAATAAATAAATACCGCAATCGTGTTGAATCAGTGTTTATTAACTTTTACAGCGCATATTTTATGATTTTAAGTTATTGTAAAAATTATTTAATACAATATTGTATGATTTTATTTTTATTATTATATTCGATGACTAACATCACCGATCAGTTGATCCTCTCATATTACAAAGCTATGGAAGACGAGGGTCCGCCACGGGGTCACAACACAACATTCATATAAGGTTGGCACAGCGTTTAGGAACAGGATTGTGGATATCTAGTATAATGTAAATAAAATGCCTCCAAAACTTTGTAAGAAATGACAACTTGGTATAACTACGAATTCGAATTACATCTACTTAATAACGTGGGGCGTTTGAAAATCATACTATATTTTATATTGAACTGCATTAACTTATATTTTGCACATAACTAATAGAAATGAAATATTAGCAATTGTTATCTTTCTAGTAAGAAAAATCTTACAATTGCTCATTATTTAAAAAAAATTATTTTAGTGATATTTGTTTACTAGATAAAATCTATCGTTAATGAACATTTATAAAAGTATTAAAATTTTGAAATAGATTATATTACACTGTAATTAACGACTTCCTTTAAAATAAAGAACCTATTATTTACAATTTATAAAAAAAATCAATAGTTATGTTTGCCGATGTTTATAACATTATATTAGTAATGCTTTTTCTTCTCCTTTAACAGACGAAATAAATAAAAGTATTTATGCAACACTAAATCTCTGTTGCCATATAAAATTTACTAAAATTTCTATAATGCTAAGTTAAAGTTTTTGATAAATAAAATGAATATTTATTACAGTTGTAGTCAAACGCCCCATTTTACAACATCACTTACAATGATAGACAATAGTCTTTAGATCCCTTTAAATTTTCTAATTCAGCATTGCCACCCTTACACACAGGGTAAATACATTCCACATCATTACAGAAATATGAACCTAAAAAATAAATAGATAATATCTAAATTCCATTTTAATTATAAATACAAGTTCTCAAACCTTAACAATTAAAAACTCTTTGTAAACTCAACGCAACTGTCGTAAGCGGTAGTGAAGTCCAATTTATATATTGTCGCTTTTCAGTCATTTTTAATAAACTACTATAATTTACTTAGAATGTACTAAGTACTGTTTAAAAATGTAACAACACTATCTATTAAATTACATTAATACGTTATAATATAGTATAGCTGAACAAGAAAATGCATATAAAACTGAATATTTCATAGATATCATATTGATTAGAACCTGTTTTTTTTAACAACGTTGGAATGTCTATCATGATGAAGTTACAGCTTTGATTTTATTTTATTGAGATACACATATTATCTTATACCTATATGCTTATAAAATTACATATTATTATAATTTAAATATTAATCATTTCAAATATAACATCATTTCTTCTTAACAACTATGAATCGATATATTTATTACATTGTATTTGGCAGTACTCGATTTCACTTAATTTGATAATCGTTATTGAACTCCTTTCCAACACTAAATCGGATTTTTGAATTGCTTTTTTCAATGTATATTTAGGTATTGCATCTTTTCTTGATAATGAAAGCATTTTTTATTCATTATTGTATTAAACTTCTTAGAAAAAATAAAAAACAAACACCTGACCCGCTCTATTATAAGACCTTGAGCTTTGTTACCGATTTCCAATATCTTGAACTTTGACATCACGAATAATTTGTTACATTTGTTCAATTCATATTTGTAACAAAAATTCTTGTAAATTAGTATTTATTATTTTATAAATACATAGTTTTGGTAATTTAAATTCAATCAATAGTAATCTATTAATATATTAACAGATTTCTTAAAGGTTTGTTTGGTCAAATAATTTTTATGTTTTGATAATGACGTTTAGAAAATATGCACGAAAATGCTACTGTCAAGTTAGTACTCAACTCAGTTGAAATAATTACAAATTAGCACCAACTTGCATTCGACAATAAAATGAAAAAATCTTTAAAATAAATTATCTTTGATATAAAGGCTAGAGCTACGAAATTTAATTTGCATTTTAAATTAGTAATAAGTAGGATGTTTTATTAAATGTCAGAAACAAAAAAAAAATCATAAAAACATAGAAATTACATAAAATTAAAAATAACAATCCCTAATTATTAATTTAAATTAATCGAAGTAACATGATCTTCAACATAGACTACAATACAAAGATAGTTTACAGTGTATGAACTAGCGCACGTTTGATCAAGCACAGTTTCTGTTGTGTTTATATTTTTTTATATGTAAGAATGAATTTTACCGACATTATTTTACCATCCTATAAAGTTGTGTATTATCACAAGAAAATTTATACTAAATAGCATACTTTTGTAGAACTCACTATATTCAAGAAAAGAAAATTAATGACAACAATTTGATATCACTTAAGAATAAAGGTTTTTGATTAACGCGAAATGAGAAAAAATTAAACTTTTACATATACTAGCACCTATGTTTGTAAATATCGATAAAGAGTTTCTGGATAAAGAGTTAATTATTTTAGTTACTTAGTGGAAAATACGAGTAGGAATATGTTGTTTTATAACAAAATGCTGTCATATGGTTGCAGCAGCACATCTGACCATTAGGGTGACTATACATATAAAAAAATGATTTTATCTGTTTTCACTGCGAAAAATTATCATAATTGTAGACATTCAGATGAAGTTTAGTTTAAAAAAAAACTCGTGAATTTTAGCAAGTAATCACGTAAATATTCACGTATTTTGTTTGCCATATGGTGTAAACATGTGAGTACGCTCTGCGCCGTGCTTCGTCAGGTGTGCGCCGGTCCTATGGTATACATTAAGCTGCGATTCTTTCGTAACAGTACATGAAGTTGCCAGAATCAATACTGACAAATTAAAATTATTGTAACAAATAACGATAAATAAATATGTAAAAATAATGTTACTACTTCGATCAGCATTCAATACGAATGTAACGAATAAAAATATATGAAAATAATTAGTGGTGGATGTTGCGTGTGGTCCGTGTGCGAGCGCAGCGCTCGTCACGCGGGGGACAGACAGCCGACTCGCCGCCCGCCGCTCACTTTGCCCTCGTCGTCTGCACACGTACGTTCGCATTTTAACGTCCGTCAAAACTCCACTGCTGAACATAGCCCTACTCCGTATACTGCTGCTCAAAAGCGCTATATTTGCCATAGTCGCCACGCTCCGCAGGCGACCGCAGTTTTTAATTGCGTTCTTAAGAAGATGTAATAATATATTGTATTATATATATATATATATATATATATATATATATATATATATATATATATATATATGAAGGTATGTATATTTGTATTGTATTGTATATTTTAATAAAGTGCACACTTTGACTACATCTATTTCCTTCAACTATCCTTCAATAGGCCTGCTGGAAGAAATTTCTTTATGGAATGAGCAGTGCCTTTTTACATAATTTTGTTTTTACAATTTTCCTATCAAAGTATGTGTGTACATAAACTGTTAAATTAATAAATAAATAAAATAAATAAGATGGTGCCTATGAATATAGGATATACTGTCTCAGTTTCCCTTTGTCGTCTCTTACGACAGCCCTGGAATGATATGGGGCAGTAGATTGTTTTACATCGCCAATACTCGGCGTAACTCAGTTTAAATTTGCAGAAATGTATTTTACCAAACTAACAAAAAAGTATTTTTAAGTATATTTTTAATGACATTATAATTGTATTTTTACTAAGGATCAAAAGTTAGGTGGAGTTTAATAAAATCATTTTGCAAATCTTTTGTTTACGTTTATAAATAATATCTATAGGAGTAAAGTCTATAAACGCTACATGCGTCTGCAAATGTTTTTCCAACTTCTTATCAATCGAAATTTAAGAAAAAGCCACAATAGTTAATATTAATATGTATAATATGTACTCGTAATGCATGCTAAACGAAACAGTTTAGTTTTTAATTTTACAATAAAATTATTAAAGGACTCACATTATAAAACACTTTTCTTTTACTTCAGCCCAAGTTACACCCGACTGCTAGACATGGGTGTCTTTCACTGTTGAGCTATTTGCCGTAATCGTCAAGCTTGGTCAGTCCATGAGGAATTTCAAAATTGATGCAGAGTTCATTATCAACTTGCATATTTTTGTAACCATAAAAAGTTGGGTTTTGTCCGTACTTGATATATTAAATCGATATTCCAGATAAACGCCTTATGAATATATACTGAATATTTTTTTTTCCTTGTAACAGCATTCTAAATCCAAATCATCCCATCTATGTATAAAACATATGATTAATCAAAAAAATTCGCAGGCTGAAATTGTAAAAACATGAAAAAAGTAATAAAATTGAGATTTTAAACCCAAAACCACCAAAAAGCTATTATATTGTGCCCATAAAACCAAAGTAGTTCTTGTTAAAATTGTTACTGAAAACAAACACCAAAATATACTTCTAACAGTGCAGAAGTTTATAGCATACAAAAATCACACTACAGTGCAATATATATATAAGTAATAAAAATAATGTTTACAAAAAAATTTACATCGGATATTTATGAATTCGGGCCGAACACAAACTAAAAATATATAAAATCTATATTTTTTTTACAAATATTACGGTTTCGTACAGCTCGTTACACTTTGTTCTTAAATTGTAATGATAATTATTGAGACTGAGAGTGGAAAAATCTTATTCAATGTACCTAATATAAATGTAATAAAACATTCACGCCTGTCACCCAGAAGGATAGGCAGAGTACAGATTTCATTTTTTTATAGAATAAGGGTAACAAACGGGCACTTAGTCCAACCTGAATAAACACTTTTGTAAGGGTCATTATGTTACATATTTAGCATCTTTGCCTCGCGTCTTCCCGTGTCTCGAAAGTGTCGACAGTGACCTGATTGCATGCTATTTTAAATTTTTGTAGAAAGAGAATAGAAAATATTCAAACAGCTACTACTTGGTTTTACATTTTAAACAATGAAAGTTTACGTGGTGCACATGGATTATAATGAGTCTTTATACCGCGGCAAGAAATTAACGTACGTGTACCAATCGAAGAACAATTGACAGCTAACCAAAGTATTCAAGTACAATTAGCGATAATATAAATAGTGAATATGAAGGCGGATTAAACACGGAGGCTATAATACTATGATCTGCAAGCTCGCAGGAACTTTCATCGTAGACTTCTATCTCTAGGATGAAATAAAGGATGAAATTACACTGGTCTCACATTATTTTAAAACAACTTATGTACATTATGGTTTAGTAATAAATGTTTGAGTTGGAAAGAGTCTTGTTTTGGTCAAAGAGGTCCAATGTTGAAGACTGCAACATTAAAATTATTGCTACGTTCACGGATGTTAAAATTGCTCAAGCACAGGTAATAAGGGAAAAATTTATTTAAAAAAACGTGCTCGTCTATGCATAGAGAGAAACGGATTCCATTTTAAGGTACCATTATTAGTTAATGGGATTGTAAATAGTTTATTCCAACTTTTTAAATACGCCATAATAATGTCAGTCGTCGTCATTTTAAAGACGCCATAAAAATGTCATTCGTCGCCATTTTAAATACGCAATAATAATGACAGTCGGTTACGTCGTTGACATGCAATAACATTTTATTTTATTTTAATTATTATGACGATTCTAAGCCCTTTAAAAGTGTTAAGGGGATATTGGAATCATAATTCGCGCCGTGTAGTTATTAGCCAAGTACCTTACCAAAAACTTGAACAATGAAAACGTGAATTGACACACACAGAAGCGCGCGTACGTGTAGTTGTTGCCCATAAATCACATTAAATTTGGAATAATTTCAAATAAAAGTGAAACCTTATTTTACTGGTATTTTCAAAAACTGTAATATTTGTATATCATTATGTATATATTGGAACTTAAATATAAATTTGGCTACTATGGTATATTCTTCTAATAATTCATTAATATATCCGAAACGAAACTGTCGTAACAATTATTTGTTTTCATGATGTGCTTGTCCAATTTTTTTCGCAAGTGTTGCATCTTTTGCAATGGAAAGTTTGTTTGCTTGTAGTATCTATTCTTAAAGCTCCTATTTTCTACCAGCTTCTATCCGTAATTCCGCGCACGTTGTACCAGAATCAACTTCATATCCATTTTTTCGCCAGAGCTCATTTTAGCCTGGTGAAAAGTACGTTATGTTCTAATTGCAAAATCTTTTACATGTGTGGCTAATTTTATACAAATTCTTTTAGCCGTTTATGCGCAGATTATATAAGAAACGTCCAAACACTTGAGTAAGCACTTTTGCGTAATATTTCTTTCCTTTTTTTTCTCAATCTTTGTCGTTCTCTCTTCATAACGTACGAAAATAATGGTCTCCTAGGTTTGTTAGCTAAAATTGATAATAGTAAGAATTTCTGAATACTGGTACTTCAATCGAGAATTTGGTTACAAAGTAACTCTAGAGACTCTCTAGACTCTAGACTCTAGAGAGCTGCGGCGTTGAGGGCTGCGTGTTCGAATTTCGCACGGAACAAGTATTTGTATGATCTACAGATAATTGTTCCTGTTTTGGATGTTTGTTCTTGTGAAACTATTGTAATATGTCACTACAATACTGAAAAATATTTAAGAGTAACGTTTAAAAAAAGCATGTGTGCAGTTCACACACGGTAGAGGTGAAGCCTCTAAATGAAATAAAATATTTCATGGCAAATGATTTATTTAACCATAAGCGCGGCACAAAATCTTTATTTTATAAAAATTACGTGTCACGTTGTTTGTCCGCGATGAACTCCTAAACTACCAAACCGATTTCAATAAAATTTTGTACACTGTGTGCAGTCTGGTCCAACTTGAGAGATAGGATCATTTTTAATCGAAATTAGGAAAGTTTTACTACGAATTTGAGGATTTTTTATAGGATAAAGGGTCGGCGGAGAGACAGAACAACAGGAGGGCAGAACAACGTCTGTCTGGCCAGCTAGTATAAGACAAAAGTTTAATTTTATAGCAAATAAACTTTATAACCATTATTTTTAGACATTAAGAGCTTAAATTTTATTAGTTTATTATCAGTGGTAAAGTAAATCAAAAGTATATTTTCTATCGAGTAAAATTGCGTTGCAACAGCGTCCTCTACTCTCTCGCAGTCTGAACAATATAAATATATATGTTAATCTTTTTTAGTGTCGCTTCTTCGCTTCATCGAGATTTAAATCAGTTTTCACTAAAAAAAAACCACGACAAGTACAGTACAAAACATTAAGGAGAGCTACGTGTACGATCGTATAACGAGATGTACGAGAGCGTGTGGGGTCATGCGGTTAGTGCGTTAGTGACTCACGTGCGGCGCGTCGCCTGAGTCACCTGAGGCGTCCTCCTGCAGCGGGCACACCAGCTCGCCCATCTCCAGCTCCTCGCGGCTCTTCTTGCGCTTCAGCGAGAACTGGCTCTTCTTTGGTACCTTTTTTATACAATATGGCTGACAAAGGAGCACACAGTGTCCACCTGATAGTAAGTGGATGCTGTGGTCCAGAGATAAACGTAAAAAATCAAAATGCGAATGCGTTGTCACCCGCGAGGACTAATATGGAATGCCTCCTTTCCAGTAAAGGTGGTCTCCGGTTCTCTACACTTACCAAACGAAACGCAGCAGCATTAACCTGCTACTTTACGCTGGTATTCCGTGAGATCATGGTCCTACTCCGGTCGAGCCGGCCCATTCATGCTACAACCATAATATAGCTGCAGTATCGCTCTACAACTTATAAAAGTTAGTGCCTTAAAGTGGCGACATAACTGAATCCATTGCTCTACTTCATTGTGGGTTTCGAAAGGTAATGACTTCTGATAGATGACGGTATAACCATCTCGTATACACTAGATGAAAAAAACGAGACAGGCGACAGGATATAGTGTCTTTGCCAATGTGCGTATAGCATCTGATACCATGCGCGGTGATAACGACGAATGTTCCATACTGCATGAGAAACTCACGTACAGCAGTGGAATTTTATAACCTGATAAAGAGAAGGACAATTGAAACCCGGTTTAATTTAAAAAAAAATTGTGCTTCTTATCATGTGTAATGCTAACTTGCCGACCTGCCCAGCTAAGCATGACGATAAAGGCGTATCCTTACGATGGGAGAGGCCCATTTAAGTAAGAATTAAAAAAATGCGCACTTTTGAGATCCATACAAAAGCACTGGAGTAGTGTGTGTCTTTTGTTTACTCTTAAAACCATTGAAGTATAATGTACTACGTACTAGATCGGACGAGGAGGCGGCCGAGTCACAGAATGCGCGAACACTAACATACGCCAAATATGGCTCGTTAAAAGAAAGGCGTACTGTCATTAAAAATAATGCAAAAGAGCATAAAACGATTTCTTATATTTACGCGAACACTACACATTGAAATAATAATAGTTTTTACGGATTTTATCGCGTATATTTAACTATAAATACCCGACGTTTGGAAAATGGAGTTAGAGGCAAACAATTATCTGGAGGCACGGCAGTGCCCCCGCCAAGTCGAGCAAAAAAGCGGCACGGCCGTACCATCTTTTCTCGAAGCAATTCAGGTCATTTTCGACCCCCTATAACTTCGTGGTCAATAAAACTAGAAGCCTGAATTTTCAGTAACCAAGTAAGCATTGTATAGATATGGTATATTTCAAATTTCATTCAATTTGAACCAGTAGTTTAAGAATTGTAACCAGTTAAACTTTCTTAATTTTGTCACTCACTGACTGACCGATCATCAAAACTCTAAGGCACTTCTAGCAGATATAGAAGCTTCAAATTTAGAATGCAATTAGTGTTTAGAGTATAAATCAAGGAAAAACTAAAACATTTGTTAATTTCTGTCCAGTTTTCTAGATACTAACTGCATAAATAACTTTGTAATCCCTTATAAATATATAGAATTACAAAGTTACATTTGCAGTGAATGAACCAGTGTACTTGTATATGTATTACAGGTGTACATAGGTACGTTGTTGGTACTCAAGAAGTAGAAGGTACTGGAAAGGTAAAAAAATTAGGACTATCTTATATACAAAAAGAAATGAGATGCAATTAAAAACATAACGTAAAAAAAACCAAGTCTCGCAACTCAGTTCTTCTACCGTAAAAAGTTGTGAGATCCATGTAATACCAAGTCGGTTAATTTATTCAGTTCCTACTTAAGGGTCCTTCTGTTTTAAGTAATTACGTAATTACCTAACCTAACAACATTTTATAGTGACCATATCAATTTTAAAAGCCTTTTATATTTTAAATATTTAATTGACTCGGCAATCGCATTAAGCAATCTAATTTAATATAATACGTATTACTTGTGAGATACATTGTGGTTTCATGCGATGGCCAAGCCAATCTATATATTTAAAACATAAAAGACTTTTAACATTGATATGGTCACTATAAAATGTTGTTAGGTTAGCTAATTACGTAATAACTTAAAACAGAAGGACCCTTAAGTAGGAACTGAATAAATTAACCGACTTGGTATTACATGGATCTCACAACTTTTTACGGTAGAAGAACTGAGTTGCGAGACTTGTTTTTTTTTTACAAGTTATGTTTTTAATTGCATTTAGCTTTTCTAGATGTGTTAGTAATTCGGAATCCTGATAACACCTTGAGCCAAACTGTCTATAGAAAAAAGACCCACACAGATAGATATTTAAACGGTGATTCTCACCACCATCCTTCACAGTTAGCTACTGTGGCTAAATCTTTGTTTCAGAGAGCACGAGGGATCTGTGACAGTAAACACCTGGCTGCCGAGCTCCACCATGCCAAGCAAGTTTTGCATGACAACAAGTTTCGGGTCCCGCGCCTACGTCATAGTGAACGAGTGAAGCCGGCCACAGTCAAGCGTGTACCTGCTGTACTGCCATATGTTAGAGGAGTCACTGACAAGATTGGCTACATCTTGAAGCGCGCTTCCATCAATACTTACTTCAAGCCGCCGAAGAAGATTGGTCAGTTTTACCATCAGTCAAGTGTAACGTCCTTCTGCAAGATGCAGGAGTGTACAAGCTTGATTGTAAGTGTGGTCTCTCCTACATAGGACAAACTAAAAGATCAATAAAAACCCGCGTTAAAGAACATATAGCTGATGTGAAGAATCGACGCTCCGGGAAGTCTGCAGTCTGAACACGTACAGGATCGCCCCCGTCACTACATCAGATTTGATAGACCACAAATCCTCGCTAAAGAAAACAGATTCCTTCCAAGGATGATTCGCGAGGCTATTGAAATCAAAAAAACATCCTAATTTTAATAGAGAAGATGGTTGGGTGCTAACATCTCTGCTTAGGATCCAATAATAAATAAAATTAAATCCCAACCCAAGCATACCACTGCAAGACTTCAAGATATCATGAGTTCATACTGTGTAGATAGGAACAAAAGTTAAATTTTTATCTATGGTAACCGCTGTTAACTATGACATTTGGACGTTGAACATCTCAGTCCCCCCCCCCCCCCCCCCGTGACCATGGGTGCTGTAAAGCGCTCGAAACGTCGGGTATTTATAGTTAAATATACGCGATAAAATCCGTAAAAACTAGTATTATTTCAAAGCATAAAACGAATTGTTTTTCATGTACTTTACGGGGTGAAACGACACACTTAGACTTTTTTCGTGTTTCCGAGAATGATTGGAACAATCTTTTATATCGCAAGAAGGCATTTTTAAAATTTAAAATGTCGAAAACCAACTGAGGTCCAGTGGACCGCAACGCACAGCGACAAACTTTGCTTTAAGGTGCGTTTCTCTAGCACAATATACCTCAATGCTTAAAACCTCTGGAGTTAAACCTGAACCCCGCAGTGGCGTGTTTACGTTACTTAACTATAGTCAACCAAATCTAAAAAATACCTTTTGACGTTTCACATTAAACATTTCTTCATTTTTCTTTCAAACAAAGCAAAATATTAAAAAAGTAACCAGTATAAACTTTTTTACTTGACGTCGTTTCAATGATATGTCGCTATGTACCTTACCGTAGTGTTTGGATGATTAAAATTCATTGTTATGCGAATAATCGACAAAAATATTCAAATAATCGGTAAACATATTCAAATAATCGAATCATTATTTTTTAATGTACCTATAATTTGTTTAATAAAATTTTCATTTTTAAAATTCTTTAAATTACATGAGTCATGAATAAAACAAGTTTTTTTTTACTTTGGCGACGTAATTTTGTTGAAACCAAAAACTCATATACAAGGCCGCGCTGAAAAAACCACTACGTAATTACAATCTCCCGCCATTTCCGGAGATTACTGTGCGTAATTTTGTGATTTTGTGTTTATCTTCTTATTTTATGACTCGCCTTTAACTTTTTGGACAGTCTCTTCTATATTCGTTGAATCATGTGCCCATGTCACAAAGGATGATTGGGCAAAAGTAGTAGAAAAAACAAAAAAAAATGATTTTTTTTTTGTTTTTTCTAATCTTTGGAAAAGACGTTAATTTTGACTGCATCATTGAAAATAAAATAATAATTAATCTAAACAACGACAGCTCAACTAGTTGTACTGAAAGTGATTGAATAAATTTATTTTTAATCTAGTCAACAAATACGAAGAAACTGATAAATCTTGTGTTTTAAATTATCCGTTTCTAATTTATTCTGGTAATATTCAAACCAAACTGTAAATGATTACCAACTCTTAAATAATCGATATCGATATTTTTAAGAATCGGTTATAGTACCTTCCCGTTTTTAAGTCTGACAGCTGTCAAAATGTATTTCTTAGATTTGGTTGACTGTATAATTAGGCGCCCGAATGAGATTTGTCTAATATTCAAATACTTCAAGTACTCACTTTATATTTGGTAGTAGCTGTGAGAGGCTGGTAGCCAAGTGTTTGTTCGGCGTTCCGTTTTTGCTGTATAACTTCCCTCCCGAGCAAATCATTGAATCTGTAATTTGTGTTAGAAAATATGAAAACCGCCAAAATGTGAAATAATTATTGAATTTGAATGAAATGTATATGAGACCGCTGTAAAAGTATACTCTATAAATACATGAAAAACAGCTTAATCGGTAACATCATCTCGGAAATAACATCGTGTTACATACAATAATCCTTTTTTATAACGATTGAAAACTGGTGTCAAGTCATTATGAAATTATCAATGTACATCAATTTTCACATTGTTTTTAATGCGTTCATTCATACACATTTTTCATCCAATAATTCATTACAGCCTATCAATAGTCCACTGCTGAACACAGGGGGGATTTGGGAATAGTTGCCATTTTTGAATCGTGAGTATTGTTCCAGGTACCGACAGAACAACAATGCTGTAGCAAAATTACTATAGCTTATGTAAGTCGAGGACCATATTGCTATTGCATCTCAATATTAACCGATTCAGTATGGATAGCACGCCAGGCGAGTCATCGATTATTTTTCTGTGTGGCGTATGGCACGCGAGTTATGTCATTTTAAACATCGTTATAACTCGCTCAAATTGCGTTTTTAGAAGATTTATCGAGAACACAATATTCATTATTTTGCAAATAGTTCATGCCTGCAGCATCGTTTCTGGATATTTTAAGAATATGAAGTTTTAAGGGGTTGATAAACTTTCTTAACTTGTAGACGGTACTCTTTATACTGAATATTTAAAAACGCTATTATTAGGTGAACATTTAATTTAATAAAAACAAAGATTTTTGATTTAGCTGTACATACTTAAAGGATTTCTTTTATAAAACAATAATAGTACAAAAGGTTTGTGATCTCTGCATTAAAAAGTCACTTACTCTTCATTTCAAGGAGAACACGTAGAAAAACACGTAGTTAGCCACTAAAAACAAGTATCTTTCCGTTCGCAAGTGATGTTTGATGTCAACTAAACTTAATCAGGTTTAAACAAGTGAAAAAAGCATAAGAAAGAACATTATTTTTACACATGGCTGATGGCACAATAGGCTTAAAATAAATTAAAATTTTTATACAGTATGTCTTTACGATATCATTTTCTTTTTTCTTTCTTTCTATTGTTTACTACAATTGCAAAGAAATCGTGGAAAGGGTTTGTAAGTGCATTTATAAGGGAAAGTTTTAATTTGAAAATCTTTGATTGTAATGATTCAGTTATAAATAATAACAGCGGAGACTACAAAGGTGGATTTGTGAGTATCTGTATCTGTACCATTAGCTGTAATGGTGATCATCATCACTACCACCTTAAACTGTTACAAAGCACGGTCCTAAGCAATCTGCATCCATCGACTTTTTCTATAGGCCATTTAAAGTTTGTCATTAGATTTATATCCAGTTATTATGTTACCTTTGTGTAAGATGCCGCCGCAATAGAGTCTTATTCGCCGGTATATTGAGCAACGCCGCCAAAAGTTCTGCCGTGAATCGCGGCTCCAGTAACATTAGTCCACCGTGTACTCCTAGAATATAATATTATAATATTTTTATTTAATATAATAATAATCTATTATTACATAATACTCATGGAAAGTATATTTTTTAAAATAGAGGATCTTTAAAAACGAAAACTACAAGGTTTCTTGACTACAGGTATCTTGACACGGTAAAGGTACCTGCACAACAGGTGCACTCTCTATTTCCTCACATTCATAGTCTGATGGTACGGAAATCCGACACAATCGGACCTGAACGTAGAAAGATCAAGCGCAAAACGAATGATTTTACATGCTTTCGAAGACAATGGTATATATCATCGCCATCTGCTACTGAGAATTTCTTGATAGTGAAACCACAATAACTGACTGTGCGGTTTACATAGCGCTTAGCGCGCAAAGCACTACTCTTCCTGGACGTCAAAACGTTTAGTGGGCCTGTCGGAGTCCCACAATGCTGTAGACTAGTGCTCCGGAGTTGGCACCGGTTTAACGCGTCTTTGGAAAAGACGCCTATTTTCATTCTTGATTAGGTATCATAATACAGTCGATATCACCCCTGAAAGCTAAGAGCATTACATGTTAATCATAATCATTTGTGCAGGACTGCACAAATGATTATGATCAATCAATCAATTTTTTATTCAATACCAAACAATCACCATCATTAATAGCCCAACCCAGGGGCACGAAAAAAGCGAGTTTGCAACTTCGCTCACCGGGACGGGTCGCTGAACGGGTCGCTGGAGATTTTCTTGTTTACCTAACACACAGATGGGCTCAGAGGGTCGAGTCTAAGAGGGAGGCCTTGGCGGTTAGTTTGGACATAGCGAAGGCCTTCGATCAAGTTTAACACAAAGCGCTTCTTTCAAACGTTGCATTCCTATGGGCTTCTCGAGAAATTTTGCTATTGGATCATAAGTTTTTTACAGATATGAGTATCAAGGTCGTAGTAGACGTTGCATACTCCGATTACAAGCCTATTAATGCTAGAAACACTAGCAAACAAGGCTGCGTGCTATCACCAACGCTGTTTCTTTTGTATATCAATGATATGTTACTGTTACTGGTTGTAACACTGATGTCTGCTGTGCAGACGACAGCACTGGTGATGCTTTTTACATTTATATTTTTGAGAACATGTCATTGAGCACCGGAACTAACTTGTGTCTGAAGTCTTTGTTACACAAACTCTCGGATTGGAGAAAACTAAATCTATAGTCAACCAAATCCAAGAAATACATTTTGACAGCTGTCAAACTTATTGCACCAACCATGGCAACCAAAAAAATGGAAACGTACAATATTCGATTCTTAAAAAAATCGATATCGATTATTTCGAGTCGGTAATCATTTACAGTTTGGTTTTAATAATACCGAATAATAAAGACGGGTAATTTAAAACTCAAAATTTATCAGTTTCTTCGTATTATTTGTTACTGTTTATTTCTAGAGGCACAGTTATAAAAATTTAGGACTGAAGCTAGATTAAAAATAAATTTTGTTCAATCACTTTCAGTTGAGCTGACGTTGTTTAGATTTATTATTATTTGATTTTCAATAATGCAGTCAAAATTAATCTCTTTCAAAGTCATCCATAATCAATATTTTTCTACCACTTTTGCCGAATCATCCTTTGTGACATGGGCACATGCTTCAACGAATATAGAAGAAACAGTTCAAACAAAATATGTATAATAATACAAACACAAAATTACAAAATTACGCACAGTAAGCTCCCGAAATGGCGAGTGATTGAAATTACCTATGTAGTGGATTTTTCAATGCGGCCATGTATATGAGTTTTTTTGCGTACACAAATTTACGTTGAAAAAGTAAAAAAAAAACTAAACTTGTGTTATTCATGATTCATGTAATTTAAAGAACTTTAAAATTAAAAATTTAACTAAACAAATAATAGGTACATTAAAAGAAAATGAATCGATTATTTAAATATTTTTGCCGATTATTCGCATAACAATGAAGTTTAATCATCCAAACACTACGGTAAGTTACATAGCGACACAGGGGCGGACCGTGAATTTGTGGTCCTCTGGGCTAACACTAGTTGAGGCCCTACCTAATTAATCAAACTAATCAAGCCAAAAAACTGTTTTCTGTAATGATTAATTATACGGTCTGGAAAAAATATACGACTTTGATACACAAACAGCAACTGTAAGACATTATTGCATAAGATATTAACAGGTTATGTGTAGTTATGTTAAATAAATTATAAAGACCTTTATAGATTTTTTGCACTGCTAATTGCTTTATTTGCATTTTGTCTATCCTTTGTTAAATCACAATTTATCGAAAGGATTGATAAATAATTTAGTTGATTATTCAACATTGTTTACCTACATTTGTTTTCTTTATATGACATCCTGGAGAAACAGCGCACTGCTTCACAGATAGTGTTTGACGATGTTAACATTCTAGAAGATGACAGTAAAGTAATTTGGGAAAACATCAACAGGATTTTTTTTCATTAATTAGCACAAACATTTCACTGCATGAGTGTAAGAATCTAGCTTGGTCTTTAGTAAGATTTTAACCGAATTCACTGATTGAATTTCTTACTATATGCCTCATAGACTTGACATTTTCTATTTAAATCCAAAACAGCTTATTCAACGTAACGTTTAACGTCTCTTTAAAAAATTTATTTGTATTCTTGTTTTTTTACTTAAATATTACTTTTTGTACATAACGTAACGTTTAACGTGTCTCTTTAAAAATTTTATTTTTATTCTTGTTTTTTTACTTATTATGTCACTGTATTCCGGTACCACTCTAGTATTTAAGTTTTAAAATTTCCCCGCGTATATCTTTCATTTTTCATTCGATTGATGTATGTTACTCACGGACTCTTTTGTTGGCATAATTAACTTGTTGCCTTTACAAATATCCTCTTTAAAAATTTCTTCCAAAAAAATAGTATAGGGCTTTACCACTTTTTAAATTTCATGCCTCTTTTTGAAAATTAACTATCTCATCCTCATTTCTACTAAAACTGGCAATTTTTTTAATGTTTTGCTTTGTTTGAAAGATTTGAATTTAAATTAATGATAAACTAGACACGTTGTAATGAAATAAAGATGACTTCATAATTCTTCGGATTTACGTAAAAGGTTATTTTAAATTGTGTGAGTACGCTTGTGCAAAGTTATTGCGGAATGATTAATGTGAAACGTCAAAAGGTATTTCCTAGATTTGGTTGACTATAGTTCAGTTTAACCCCCAGAAGACACAATCAATGTTTGCACGTTTACCGCTAAAAATAACCCACTTCTCGGTATCTTTTTAATTTCACTCGTTGTCTCAGTCAGCATCGGAATCCTCGGCGTCGATATATAGAATAATGACGTTCAGTTCCGCGATCACTTGAAAGGAGAGGTCAAATAGACCTCTAAAAAGCTTGGCGTCGTTTGTAGAGCTGGACATTTCATGTCGGCTCACCGCCTGTAACTTTACAAGGCGCAGGTTCTTTCTCACATGGAATACTATTCTCATCTCTTGGCAAGGACCTTGTCTGATCAATTCGATTCACGGGCGCTACGAAGAGATGTTGCATCTTTTTGCATTTTCTACCACGATGAGTGCTCCGAGGAATTCGGATCCGGATTAATTCCAACCGAAAAAGTCTACCAACGCAAATCGCGACAAAATTCTCGATACCATGCACACCATTTAGATGCTTTGCGGTCCACCACTGTGCATTTTACTAGGAGTTTTCATCCTCGCCCGACTTCTTTGTGAGATCGTTTGCAACTAGTGACTGCCCTTTGCACTTGCCCGCACTTCCATAAAATATAACAAACATAACGCCGTTGCGGAGTAATTCCCAAGTAATAACCGGGGTTCCTCTAACGCTTGCGCAGCGTGAGTGGAGAAAAGGGGGAGGGAGTGGGAGAGAGTTGGGCGCGTACTCCGCGAGGTCGATCACCTGCAACCACTGCATGACGCGGTGCGACGAGCAGCGCGCCAGCTTGTGCAGTGTGTGGGGGAGGGGATGGGGTGTAGGTACCGGCGCCGCGAAGGTTGGGCGCGTACTCCGCGAGGTCGATCTCCTGCAGCTACTGCACGACGCGGTGCGACGAGCAGCGCGCCAGCTTGTGCAGTGGGTGGGGGGAGGGGGTGGGGTTTAGGTACCGGCTCCGCGCAGGTTGGGCGCGTACTCCGCGAGGTCAATCTCCTGCAGCCACTGCATGACGCGGTGCGACGACCAGCGCGCCAGCTCCGCTACGCCGGCGCCCTCGCCTTCCGCCTCCACGTCGCCGCTTGTTTGCCTCGAGTCCACTTCAACCGCGCGTCTGATCATCGTTTCAGGGTTGAACTGGTTGTCCCGAAGTACTTGGATGCCTGAAAACAAATTCATTTTTTAAGCAATAATTGTAAAATTATTGCAGAAATTGTCGAGACTTCAGACTTCATTATACTTGAAAAACAGTATTTTTAGCTTCGTCTATTATAGTCTACATTGATGTAGACTAATGTCTTCTCGTCTTTATTTTTTTAATTAACTGCTGGACACAGGACATGCAACAAAGTAGCAACTGAATTTCGTTCTTCCAAATCCTGATTTTTCCACTAATTGTGTGTGCGCATACTGCTCGGCGTGCGCCAGGCGGGGCAGCGGTGCAGTGCTGCCGCACTGCAGCGGGCAGCACGAACCTCGTCTGATGGAGAGGGCGTGTAGTGCGTGCGACACGCGCAGTTGCGCGTGTAGCTTGGCGGTGCAGCGGTGCAACGCTGCAGCGGGCAGCACGCACCTCGTCTGATTGAGAGTTACGTGCAGCTTGGCGTGCTCCGAGGCGGTGCAGCGGTGCAACGCTGCAGCGGGCAGCACGCACCTCGTCTGATGGACATCGCGTACAGCTCGGCGTGTGCCAGGTGGTGCTGCGGTGGACCGCTGCAGCGGGCGGCACGCACCTCGTCTGATGGAGAGCGCGTGCAGTGCGTGCGACACGCGCAGGTGTGCGTGCAACTCGGCGTGGGCCAGGCGGTGCAGCAGGCGGCCGTCTAGCGCTGCGTCGGCCGCCGCGCCGCGCGCCCCACACACGCCCACGTCTTCGAGCCAGCGCAGCGCCCATGCGGTGTCCAAACGTCCCGCCGCCGTAAGCAACGGATCTCCATGGCCGCCCTATGAAATTACCGTGGTCATTAGTTGCGAGTTCCACAAATAATTATTCTGGATCTGGATGTTTGTCCTTACGCAATTTATGTATGTAAACTGCCCCCACGAGGTGAGTATCCTAGTGTGAAGGTAAGGTTTTAAAAGCAAGCAATAAAGTTACTTAGTAAATATTATCTTATCTATGGTTAGCTTATGTATGTATTTTACTTTTATACCAAAAGGCGGCCGTAGTGCTAAGGTCATTTTTAGGGTTCCGTACTCAAAGGTATATACCCTTTGAGTACCTAAAAATGTATCCCAAATTATTCGTAAGTAAAAGTTTATAAGCGTGACTATGCGTCATATTCAGTTAACAGTATTTATGTCGGACCAAGTGGTCAAGAAAATACAGGTAACTCAGTTCATAGATTCTCAGTACAGGTACTATTAAATTATCAATGTGTATGTTTACACCACATATTTTTATTTAGTAAACGCTGCAACCTACTTTTAGCCGCGCGTCGCGTGTATTTAAATTTACTTATTTAATTGCAAACTTACAATCGGTAGTACGTCAACAACCGTCCTTCTAAACACCAACTACTCAAGGAAACATTTGCCACTGTAACTTTATAATTATTTTACTTTTTAATTAAACATTTAACTTTGGTGATCTTTTCCTTTTGACGTGCTCTTCTACAAACTACAACTCTACTTCTTGAAAGTGTATGGCCTTACAAACCATATATTTTATGGTCCTTCGAGTAAAACCATAGATTTTACGGTCCTTTGAGAAAAGGGTATTCAGTGATATTTGTCTCTTTGCGGTAGCAATCGGTTTATCGGCCTCCCAGAAGCGGGTCTCATCGGTGAATATTATATCGCTCAGGGGCAATTACACTCGTACTCTCATCACGATCATTTCCAAGACGGAGAAAATTGAAGCTGGTACGACTTACTGAAGTTTGGTTCGCGAAGATTGGAAACAAGGAGACTGCGACGAAATTAGTTGCCTTGTCGTGCATCAACTAGCGCGTCTAAGTCAATTAAACTAACTCACGTGTCGCCGTAAACTGCGGGACAGTTCAAGAGATAATCTACTTCAACTTACTTATTGCCGTGAACTACGGGATAATTACAACTACATAACTACAACTTAACTGGTGTTGCGGATCGGGTCAACCCGAAACGAATGTTTTCGAGCGTCATCGTAAACTACGAGGCAGCTACTTAACTAACTAACTCTACTACAAACTTAGTGTACTAAGAAAAACTACATCCCGAAAATGCCCATCATCTTTTTTGTGCCGAATGGTGGTGCAGTGTTGTGGCGAGCTGCATACTCTTTGATTTGAGCCCAGATCAGCTCAATTGCGTTATACTGGCTGTGGTACGGAGGTATTCTCAGAACGCGATGACCATATTCCATAGCCAGTTCGTCGATTTCGTATCTTACTTTTTGAGGCTTATTTTCTTTAACTAATTTCATTAATTCTGCTTTTAGCATATTTGCTGCTTTTAGCAATGTTACAAACAGAAGTTCGCGAATCCTTTCGTACCTTCTCCAAAATTTCGTCTTCAATATCAAAGTCTGCTCTACCACTGTACAGGTACTACTTTCTATGGATATTAGGTTTAAAATCAGCCAAATCAGCGTGAAAACGAATTATTTTTCTTAACATTAATCGAACGGACGAATCCTTTTTAAAAATATCTAATTGAGTAATTTGCACAAAAAAACTATACCACAAAAAGTTGAAGTAAAAGTACCAAGTATTATACCATTTTGAAATCTACATGAATTGCGCCAACTTTCGAATACAGTTGCCAGGTCCATGTGGGTACATTTTTTTACAGCATGAAGGGTCCAACTTGCTCGATAGAACTTTAATGTTACATTTTTACACTTTTACGAACTTTCATGTATTTATTTCTAACAAACTGTAAGAGGTACTGAAAAATAAATGGTATGGTAGGCATATCATTGGGCTATACAAAACAGAAAAAAAATTTAAAATCGGTCCTCATTTGCAGATGCAGCATCAAAAATATTGACGTAAAGGCTGATTTTCCGGAAAATTTATAAATCAGCCTTTATCTTTTAAACCAAGCAATTTGGTTTTTTTTTTCGAACAGTTCTTCCACGGTCTACAATCCCCTTTCGTTTGATCGTTACGTTCTGGGACAACCTGTATATGATTCCTTATTGCATCGGCGTCAAAGGTATCGATATTTGTCACAGGTTTTGTTCTGCGTTTTTTCTTCGGTGTTCGTATAACATTTTTATCCATGCTAGTTGGGCCGAACTTTTCTTTATTAATTTTCATTATCATCCCTATGCTCACTCCAAGCGCCTGAGACGCGCTCTTGTACTTGTTCGAGAAAGCAAGGGTCCGCAATTTTGCTTTTCTCGCTGAAAGTAATCTTGTAAGTTGATTATTAGCTCACGGCTTTCACTTTAATGGTTTTTCCACGTTTCGGCATTGCTATGCGCAAAAAGCACAAGACAAATCGTAAAGTCTAATTCAGCGGCAATGTCAATTTATTAGCAGGAACAGTCAGTTAAACGAAAACCAGGTAAACAGCACAAAAAAAATATGGCCCAATTTAGCGCCGATGTCAATATAATTAGCAGGAACAATCAATAAAATGAAAGCCAAGTTACAAAAAAAAAAAAACAAATCGAGAAGCACTGAAGATCGTAGACTATGCACACGAAACCACAATAGACGACTGAGATGAGAACCAGAGAACTTTTAGCATTACAAAATGGCGGCCCATCACCAGTGATACCAACCCCTATCAAAAAATTAAACCGAGATTTTTTTTTTCATTTATCTTCTGATGATATATTTTCAAATCATTAGAAATAAAAACTAATATGTATTAAAATATGTCAGACAACGTTACTATTGCCCATCATTTTTGGTGCGTCATTTAGAAAAACATCTCATTATTTAACTTTTTAATCATTGCAAAAGTAACATACAACAATGTACTTAACATAATGGTCTAATTGGAATGATGAATTAAAATATATATATATATATATATATATTGTAGTGTATGTGCCTCCACCCTAATAGCATATGTTAATAAATGTACTTACTCTTAGGTTTAAGTGACAGTATAATTAAAGTCTTGAGGAGAGAAACACGTTTCCTTTCATTTACCAACCGTTCAACATTACATGGCGACCCTGCCAGGCGGTGCGCGGCGACAAGGCACGCGCACCGCCGCGGCCTGCACAAATAGTTAAAGAAACATGGAAAAATAAATATAAAACTAAAGGAACAATTTTCAACTATTGAATTGACACTACCGGATGTGACAAGTAAGCCGACACAGAGACATAAGAAGAGGCGACAAGGTTATTATTTCTTTAAGGAGATATGCTAATAAATCCTATTAGAAAAAGAAGAAAAATGTTACGAAAAAAAACGGGAACGATCAACTTCAGAAACAAATATTATGACAGCTTCAAATATTACATGAAGATTAAACGAATTAGATGGTGAGACCACAAATTTAAGAAAAATAGAAGAAACTTCCTGCAAGCCTTAACCGATAAGAAGATAGAAAAATTGAGCCGAAAGAACAAATTATGAGGTAACTTCGCACCTATGTGATTTTAATTCTATTTCAAACTTTATTTAACAATTTAAGATTGTTTTTTTTTTGCTATTATGTTTTAAGTTAGATATTAAATATTCTGTATTTACATATAATTAAGTTGAAATTAGTTATCAGATTATTCACAATATACTTTATTATCAAATATTTTATTACCTACAAAAAAAAATAAAAATAAAAATAAACCAAAAACAATTATAATACAGTATTAAAAATTAAGTTGAATTTTAAGCACTTATGTGGCACTTCTATTAAGGCGCCAGACCAGACTTTATATTCTCATTTATGAAGTTATAGTTTTGTATTATTTTTTTACTGTGTCCTGCCAAACAATTAATGAAATAATAAAATAATAGATTCCAATTTTACACACTTGATTTAAAATAACACTGTGATACATTTCGTTGATTTTTTTTCTCGAATCCAAATTTTAAAGGGTTAGAAACATTTCACTATCATTATAAGTTTTAATTTTTTTTTAAAAGGCATTAAATCTTAAATTTATATAATAACTTATGTAAAATATAAAAAACTTCCTTTTAAATGTTTGAATAAATTATTGTATCATTGTGTAAAGGTGATAACTCTTATAATGTGATTTTCGATTATTCTGTATACACGATATAATATATAACATAGTTTCAGTAATATTTTTCGATCTGTATAAAAGCGATATAACTTTTAACGATGTAACCATGTGGACTTCTGAATAAATAAGAAATTAAAAATATTAGTTTAAGGTACATTTTTTTTACTCGCACTCATTTATATGAGTACTACTACTTATGTAGTAACAAATTGTACACGTTAAGTTGACATTAGGCACGATCATACGATGCGATTATTTTAACGTTTATTATCAATTATATTTTTCATATTTTCTGGCTAAAATAACACTTTTATTTCTTTTGAAAGACAAGAAACTAGGTAGGTAGGTAGGTAAATACTCGTATAACAAGAGTCAATCTTCACATAGTGAATATAAAAGGTCTGCTAACCATTTCTTACGAATGATACTGATGTTTCTAAAAATATGATATTATAAAATGTTATGCAATGAGCGTATCCTATAAAAAAAAAACATGGTAACATAGATGATAAATTTAAACTGAACACAGCGACATGCAACACATTAACAGGTGTAGGATAAATCATAACAACATTGTAATAGCGATAAAAATAATAAGTATAGGAAAATAAATGAGTAAATGATAATAGTATTGTTACAGAGATGAAAATAATAAATAAATAACAGTGTAAACAGGAATAAAGTAGTTAAGAGAGGTTTTAATAATAATGGTTCAAAAAAAAAGTTAAACACCGACAAAGAAAATTTATTGATAAGAATGTTATCTCATTTGTACAAAAATTAGAAAGCATGTAATTGGTATGAGGAACGGAAGAATGTTCGAACGTGTAAATACGAATGATTTAGTTACTAAGTTTTGTCAATGTTGGACTGATCACCCAAATATTGATGATACTTAAACTGTGCGACTTGAAATGTGTGAGAATGATGCAAGTTAGTATATAGAAGTGGGGCACGAAAGTATATAAATAAAGAACAAGGTAATGAAGAAATAAAGAAGGAATAAATATTTATGGCAATAATAAAAATAAATAAAAATATGACATTGACCAATAAGTAATGGAGAGATATGGGAACGTTCAACACTGGTATAGCGTATAGTCCTCGAGCAGGGTACGTTTCCGTGATTGGACGATGAAATCGGAGTAACGGGTACTAGGGAACAACGCCTTCAGCACAAGTGATGTAACTGAGTTTACTCATATTAGTACTGTTAGGGACCAGAGAAGTCTTAAATTTGTTACCCTTAATAATGGTACATTGAGGTCACATCCTTCGTTGGATCATGGTGCGAACGTAGTTTTCCTCAGTGACAATTGTTGGAGTCCTTTGAAAATAACTTAAACGTAGACCTCATGGTTGTGCGCACAACCCAAGGTACACTTTTACCTTGATATAATTACGATAAAAAGTTATGATGTACCAACAAAATGAAATGAATGTTACGAAAATGTAATATAATACCCAAATAAATGGGGGGCCCATATGTATGTGTATAAAGTACCCGCATGATAAATATCATGAAATGAAATATAATTGAAGTGAATTGAAACTCCGGTTCCCGATATTTAATAAATAAATACATATATGCGTGAATAGAGAGAAATAAAGCTAGCTAAAAGTCAAAATATAAAAAAAGAGAAAGTACGTACAAGATTTATGAAAAGAAATGATAATAAAAAGGCCTAACAATCTACAAAAGTACAAGGTAATAAGGGGATCCCCGACCAAATCCATGGGGTTGGATAGATGGTTATTTTGCATTTCTATATTAGGACTATTAACGCTACCCAAAATGCTACTAGCAAGTTGCACATATAAACAGCTATAGGGTTCGATTCGCACAACTACACGTAAACAAATAAAAATATATCAACCCAATATGATAAGTACAATTTCGCGTAAATTTATATAAATTTACGAGATTTTTTCATATTTAGGCACATTGATTCGTATTTACAATGATTCTACTTTAAATAATTTTTTTCTGTCTCATGTTTTCTTATGTAAAATGTGTACAATTTTGAGCTACATTTATATAAAGCTTTTTATAATCAAGTCCAAAGGTTATCGATACACTATTATTGTAAATTGTATAATGTAATCGTTTTTTTTCCTATAAAAAAGGCAATGAAAACCTAAAATTGTGTCACCTGCTTGAAATAAAATTGGCTTTTCCAATGTAAATAAATATTTTGTAAAAAAAAAACTTTAGCTGTGTACCTAACAGTGTATTCTCTTTTTATATAAATTTCTGTCCCAATTAAGATAAACGTATTTCTTAGAAGTAAAAGTAATACTATTTTATTATTAACAATGCAACTATTTTTAAATATCTGTTCCAAGTTTTAAGGTATATTTTACTTGCATTCATATTATAACATATTATGGAAGTTACTTAATGTTAGGTATGAATCACCACACCTTGTGATCATAGTCCGATGTAATTGCAAACGTAGCCTTATACGTACCTACCTACTTAGAAATTTAAAACGTAGGTGTCACAAACCGCTTACGCAACTGGGATTGCAAGTTGTATTTTGATTCCCGTTATTGCTGATAGCGATGATATTGGCGTTGCATTACATTATGTTTTTTGCTCTTTTCATATTTAAATGAAATGTAATATTATCGGTGGTATATTCATTAAACCTTCAAATCACATGCTTTAACTTTTATAAGTCATTAATTTCTGAAAATATAGTAGAATATTAATGTCTAACCTATTTGTGTGGATCATGAAAGCAATAGTTAAACAAATATAAAGGTATAAATAAATTAAATATAAAGTATATACAATTATGAATACAAATGTGAATAAATATATATAAAGGTAGAGCAGGTACTGCTTAATATGAAATGTAATAGTTTATTTTCAGTTTTATATTGTTTGAACTTTTAAATCATAACTTCTAACTAGAACATATAGTTAATGTAATAAATCTCGAGTGAAAATAAATGTAAAAAAAAATATTAATAAGTATATGGCAGTTGTGACATTGAATAATATCAAAAATACGACAGGCTTAATGTCGTACGAAATAAAAATGTTAACGAAATAAAATCGCATGCGTATCACGGATTGACTTAATAATATGATTATGTATAACCATGGTATAATCTGATCATGATCATGAGATTATAATTTTTTAAATGAAGTTAGTTTTATATTTTGTTTAACTACGTTATTTTATTCCAATTAGAAATTATATACATTTAAAGCCTATGTAACATTGTATTTTATTTTAATCTTCAATATTAAAAGATTAAAAATAAATATTAAAAATTATTCAATATTAAAATTATTATTATGTTATAAGATTCATGAAAACTAAAATGTAAAAAAAAAGTAAATAGAGAACTTTCCTTTTTTTTTTAAGTATCGGGGAGGTGTAGTGTATGTGCCTCCACCCTAATAGCATATGTTAATAAATGTACTTACTCTTAGGTTTAAGTGACAGTATAATTAAAGTCTTGAGGAGAGAAACACGTTTCCTTTCATTTACCAACCGTTCAACATTACAAATATATATATATATATATATATATATATATATATATATATATATATATATATATATTAATCGGAAATGCTACGCTACTTCACAGTTACATCGTCCGTTCGATATCGACCTGTCAGGATCGCATTCTCTGATCGTGCGATACATCATAAACACAATTAAAATTAGTTGTATGAATAAAATAGTTCAACTGTGTGATAAAATAGTCACATTTCAGTTTCTGATCAGGTAATAATTTATCTAATGGATAAATTTTATCTAACGATTGGAAAATCAGCCCTAGGCATAAAGCTTTAAAAAAATTAACACTTACTAGTAAATCTGTAATAGCGAGTAAGATTTTCTTCTTGTGCATCGGATGTTTTATAGCCAATTCCTTTTCAATGGTATTGTGAGAGGCGCTCGCTATAACTCCTTTGGCGTCGGGTGTAGCACCAAGCCAGGTTCGAGCGGCTGCTACGTATGTTTCCAGTCCCAGGCTCTCTAGCCACCCGCAAGTCGTCTCGCAGTCCCACTCGCGCACGTCTGTTGTTTGCCTATAAGTATGAAAATTATATGTATTCTGTGATTTGTGGGAAATATTTAGCCGCCTAGGCAGTTCGTATGAGCGGGCAGCCACCTGATGCGGTTGGAATAGCGGCTGACCGCTATGGTGGCCAACCGCGTCGGAACCGCGATAAGCGGTTATATCGTTCAATAATAGGCTTGTTGGGCCATAAACGTACTCATTTTGTTTAAGTAGATTGTGTTATCTATTTTTAATCCCGAAAACAACGAAAGAAAAAAGTAAAAAAGATACTGGATTCATTTTTTACCTTTTTAACCTCTATTCTTATATGATGCTACTTAAAAATTCCAAATAGCTTCTTTACTGTGTCCAAGTTCTTGGATGTACAACTCAAACTCGAAACGCGTACAAACAGATCAGCGGCTCACCGCAAACTAAACGACCAGTGCGTGTAAACAAAATGGCAGCCAGCCACCAAGCGGGCGGCGGCTCTTCGTTCAACCACCGCGGTTGAAATTTATGGCGGTTAAGTGCGTACGATCGCAAGCGGTTGCACATTAAGCTGGAAAAGCGGCTAACCACGCAGTTAGCCGCCCGCGTGGTTAACTTCTAGTGCGTAGCAGCGTTAACCGTGTAGTGGCGGTGTAAGAATATCCACTACCCCATATCAACCCGAGGGTGTCGTGAGAGGCGTAAAAGAAACTTTTACACGTGGTAGAGCCACACTGCAGCTATATTATGGTTGTAGCAAGAATGGGTCGGCTCGACCGGGGAAGAATCGCGCTCTCACAGAATACCAGCGTGAAATAGCTGATTTAATGCTGCTGTGTTTCGTATGGTGAGAATAGAGAAACGGAGAGTGGAATCGAGGCATTCCATATTAGTCCTCATGGGTGACAACGCATCTTGATTCTTAAGCGAGGTTAAATGTAGATGTCTATGGGCCACAGCGTCCACTTACCATCAGGTGGAGTTTGTGCTCGTTTGTCACCATTATCCTATATAAAAAACAAGAGATGGGCAGAAGCATCTTCCTGAACAAATTAAAATAATAAAAACTGCTTTTGCTAACCCGCTTGCCAAGTTTTGCAACTGTGGTGACCTTTCCAAATGAGAAATTCTATGAGGGAGGCTCAGTTCGTTTCAGCAGTAGGCCTTTATAGACTGTCATGAATGGATGGATGGATGGAAATGGCAAAAAGCGCTGACACGAAACGTGTCGACACAACCTGGTACGTGGAGGGTAGACACGACATCTTATAAATGCTCCACCTCACCACAGAAAAAGAGAGGGAATCCCATTTTGACAGGATATGTGAATTAAAAGAACTGTCGTCGTGTACAACACGTACGAATTAACTTGAGACTCCGCTGGAATGCGACCCCCTTCCCGACTCCCCGCACCGCGTCCCGCGCTGGCCGTGCGCGCTCAGTACCGATAGCATTTTTGTTACGGATACTCTAGTTCGATATTTTTGATGAATAAGGTCGCCTGTTATGCTTTGTATTTTTATTGTGTACGAAACTGTAACACTTTTTATAGTGCAATAAAGTGTATAATAAATATAATAATATTATAAATGAGAAAGTGTGTATGTTTATTTCTTTGTCCTTCCTTGACGCGTTAACTAAAAATAATATTATATATATTATAAAAAATAAATATTTAAAATATATAAAAATGGCAACAGTATATCACTTATTACTTCACCCCTTGCCAGAACATTTTATTTTGTTTTTATTAATAATCTCATGCAAATCTCAAAAATTTCAAATAAAAAAATATTACGACGCATTATTTTGCACACCGTACATTGACAATTACGTCATCGGCCCAGGTCTCAAGTTAATTCGTACGAGTTATAGTTGCGGCCTACGAGAATTACCTACACCATGTATCTGTCTTACACTATCCCGTCGGTGTCGTAAGAGGCGACAGAGGAAAACTGAAACAGGAGATTGGCAGCAGAACCTTCTTTGTGGGAATTCAAATTAGTAAAATAGCTGCAGCTTTTTTTATATAATAAGGTGATAATCGAACAAACATTCCACCTGATGTTAAGTAAATGCTGTGGCCCATAGACATTTACAACTTTACTCAAATTCCGAGGACTAAGTTGGAATGCTTTGTTTTTTATTTTATTTCGCAGTTGCCAGCCTGCAACGCCAGCTGGTAAGGCTTGCGGCGCTGCTGATAAGGTGGCCGTGTGGGTGGTGAGGTGGCGGTGGCCTGTACTCACCAGGGCATATGGTGAGCGCGTGTGCGCGGCGCGGCTCGCAGCAAGACGCGCAGCTCGCCGCCCTCTTGACACACGGCGGGGCTGTGGACTGTGTGGTGCGGTGGTGTGGCGGTGTGGGTGGTGAGGTGGCGGTGGGCTGTACTCACCAGGGCATGTGGTGCGCGCGTGTGCGCGGCGCGGCTCACAGCGAGGCGCGCAGCTTGCCGCCCTCCAGACACACGGCCGGGCTGTGGACTGTGTGGTGCGGTGGTGTGGCGGTGTGGGTGGTGAGGTGGCGGTGGGCTGTACTCACCAGGGCATGTGGTGCGCGCGTGTGCGCGGCGCGGCTCGCAGCGAGACGCACAGCTCGCCGCCCTATAGACACACGGCGGGGCTGTGAACTGTGTGGTGCGGTGGTGTGGCGGTGTGGGTGGTGAGGTGTCGGTGGGCTGTACTCACCAGGGCATGTGGTGCGCGCGTGTGCGCGGCGCGGCTCGCAGCGAGGCGCGCGGCTTGCCGCCCTCCAGACACACGGCGGGGCTGTGGACTGTGTGGTGCGGTGGTGTGGCGGTGTGGGTGGTGAGGTGGCGGTGGGCTGTACTCACCAGGGCATGTGGTGCGCGCGTGTGCGCGGTGCGGCTCGCAGCGAGGCGCGCGGCTTGCCGCCCTCCAGACACACGGCGGGGCTGTAGACTGTGTGGTGTGGTGGTGTGGGTGGTGAGGTGGCGGTGGGCTGTACTCACCAGGGCATGTGATGCGCGCGGGCGCGCGGCGCGGCTCGCAGCGAGGCGCGCAGCTCGCCCCCCTCCAGGCGCACGGAGCCGCTGCCCAGCCGCGCCCGCACCTCGCGCAACGACGGCGACGGACTGCCGCGCGGAATCGCCTCCTCCTTCTCCGCTGTTGATGTTATTAAATAATAACGGATTAGCTCGCATCGCAGCTTTCCGCTGTTTTTGAATTGAAACTCGATAAAACAAAAAAGCGACACCATAAACAGACACACATATACATACGTCTATAAGACTTATCGTGCGAGAGAAAGAGTTATTAATTATTATAAATTATTTATATTTTTATGTTACATAAACCCTACAATTATCCTATTTCTGATACTCTGCATTCGTCTCATTCTATCGAAGTTTAGTTTTCTGAAGGTTTCACTTCTATCACAGGTGAGCTGCACACACTTTTTTTAAACAGTAAACTACATAGCCTATTTTGGATTTGTGTGCAGCTCTTAAAGTACCCACCGACGATACGTCAATTAATCCAAATAGTGTGGTAATCGCCCAAAATCGTACCGTGAATGGTAAAAAAAATTCCATTTGGATGGACTTCATCCAGCTCTGGAATTCCAAACGGATTGAAATCCATGCATCTAGTTTAAATGGACGTCATCCGCAGCCGTTCGTCAATGTCAAAAACGTGCGTCACGCCAAATGGAAGCAGTCCGAATTATCAATGAATGGGCGAAGCGGCGCCAATTTTTTGAATTTTTTGTGTCAGTTTATGTTTTGGTGTTTATCGTGGTACATGTGCTTTGTTTGTCAAACATAAACTACAATACAAATAAATTACACAATTTAACTATTTCTACCGCTAAATATCAGTGTATGCACGGTTTACTCGGGTTTATAGAGCATAGAGAGCCAATATAAGTACAGGCTGAAAAGAATTCGTAACAAACCCAATGGTTAAATACAGTAATTTAAAAAGACCCAACTGCGTAAAAATTTACTGAAAGATAAGATATGCCATTATGCAATATCAAATTTTAACGCATATTTTTCATAAAACTATTTATTTGAATATGTTGTGTGTGGGTCTTTCTCTCTCTCTCTCTCTCTTTCTCTCTCTCTCTCTCTCTCTCTCTCTCTCTCTCTCTCTCTCTCTCTCTCTCTCTCTCTCTGTGTGTGTGTGTGTGTGTGTGTGTGTGTGTGTGTGTGCGCGCGTGCGCGCGTATGTGTGCACGTCTCTTTCTCTCTCTCCGTGCGTGTGAGTATGTGTGTGCAAGTGTGTGCGCGGCGCGTGCGTGTGTGTGTGTGCCTGTGTGTATGTGCGTGCGCGCGAGTCGCGAGATATTCGTGATGTTGTAGGATGTAGTTCAAAGTGACGCCATGCGTCCAATCGGATGTATTGTTAATGGTACCGTATCTGGATAAATTTTCATTTTGAGTGCATCCATTTTGAAGTTTACTAAATGGACGTATCATCGGTGGGAACTTTTAGGCTCATTTCATTCTGTAGCGTGGTCGGTCGAGTTGGACTTTCACACTTCCACGTGCGCACTCATTTGAGGAGGATATTTGTCCTTATTTTTATTTCTATATTAAAATGGAAAATTATTCATGCATCCTATAAATTCAGCGCTTATGTTGAGTGGTGCATTCGTAATATTGTATTCACAATTACGAGAAGATGCAAATGAATTTTTCAATTACTTCAGGATGTCATGAAGTATTTCGTAGACATGTGAAATCTGTCAACACGCAATGGCGCTGCGGGGTGGATACTTTCTTGCACTATTAAAGTAAAGTAACAATAATAATAAAATAATAATCTTTTCTAGGTGGTAGAATTTTCAGTATTAATTGCTCTGTATTTAACTGTACATAAAACGCCCACGCGCAAGTCCAACTGTGAAATATCGCATTGCATCATTGGCCTGCGTGCCGATCGACCGGTCGAGCGTGTCGAAAACGCAAAGCTGCACATGATATAGTAAAGGACGCCCATTGACTTTTTGCTTTGACTTTTGACTTTATACAAATTGACGCGCGCATCGGTCATCATCTTCCTTTCCCCATATCTTCCCGTAGGTGTCGTAAAAGGCGACAGATTGTAACAGGCAGGAGACGCGCAGCAGCATCTTCCTGATAGCAGGAACTATACAAAAAAACTGCGGTAGCCAACCCGCTCGCCAAGTGTGGAAACTATAGCAATATAACCACCATGATAGTTACGAAGAAACGGCTTCCAGTCCCCGGCGGCCCCGCTATTCCTGGCTACGGTGGTGATCATGGTAAAGGCGGGGCAGGGGGTGCTAAGAATCTCCGGAGGAGGTTCGGTTGCCACCTACGACGCCTCGACCTGGCAACATATAACGCACGCACCCTGAGGACTGGCGAGAAGATACTGGAGCTGGAAGCAGAGATAGACAATTTGCGCTGGAATATTATAGGATTATCCGAGGTGCGAAGAGAGGGGGAGGACACGGTGAACGGAGGAATCTGGCAACTTGTTCTATCACCGGGAGGGCGACCATCTGTCTCAAGGAGGTGTTGGATTTATCGTCCACAAATCTCTCGTTAACAACGTTTTAAAATTGGGAGTGTATCGACGAGGGTTGCGCATCTTATACTCAGAATCACCAAACGGTATTCGCTGAATGTCATACAGGTTTACACACCAACGTCGGAACATCCCGATGAGAAGGTGGAGGAAATGTATGAGGATATTTCTAAAGCCATGCATTCCTCCAAAACGCACTACAAGGTGTTAAGGAGAGATTTCAACGCAAAACTAGGCACAAGAAAGAATGGTGAACTGAAGGTAGGGAAATTTGAAATAGGGCAACGGAACCCAAGGGGCCAACAGCTGGCCGACTTCACGGAGAAAGTGGGACTCTTTATGATGAACTCTTTCTTCCAGAAGCGGCCCCACAGAAAGTGGACCTGGTCGAGCCCCGACGGTTCGACAAAAATGAAATTGACTTCATTATGACGACTAGACGGCAACCGTTCAGTGATATCTCAGTGATCACAAGGATGAAAACTGGCAGCGATTACCGAATGGCGAGCGGCACACTGAACCTAAACGTTAAGTTGGAGTGGTCTTGTCGAAAGAAGTCAACGCCCCGTCCCCCTCGTGCTCTAATCCAAAATCCCGAAACCTTTCAGCTCGAGTTACAAAACCGCTTTCAGTGGCTAGAAGATTGCAATGCAGTGGACGATATGAATGACAAGCTCGTGGAAACTGTCCATGCGGACGGAGCTAAGTTCTGCAGAACCGCCGCAGAAGAACACAAAAACTCTCCGATCACACTCTTTATCTCATCGCTGTTAGACGGGAGATGAATCTGCAATCGTCAGCTGATTTGACAGCATACAGGCAACTGAACAGACAGATCTCTAAATGCATGCGGCGCGACTTACGCAACTTTAATACGGTTCGTATTGAAGAAGCAATCGAGAGGAACCAGGGCTCCCGAATTCTTTGCCAGAGATCGTCTGCCAGAAAGAGCCAACTATCAAAGCTGAAGAATGAGTGTGGCAGCATCGTTTCCGGAACACCTGACATTTTGAGTGAGATTGAGAGTTTCTATAGGCAGCTGTACACATCATCGTAGGAGCCACAGGCAAGTGTGAGTAACGATCCAAGAGAAAGTCTTATCCGACACTATTCCGATGACATCTCGGACGTCAGTCTGAGCGAGATTAGAATGGCTCTCCAATGCCTTGAAAATGGCAAGGCCCCAGGCGAGGATGGAATTACAGCGGAGCTTCTGTAAGCGGGTGGAACAACGGTACTTAAAGTCCTTCAGAAGCTCTTCAATTTCGTCCTCCATGGTGGCACTACTCCGGAGGCGTAGAGCAGAAGTGCGGTGGTCTTGTTCTTCAAGAAAGGCGACAATGCTCTCTTAAAGAACTACAGACCGATTTCCCTTCTGAACCGCGTCTACGTGCTGTTTTCGAGAGTAATTACGAATCATCTCTCACGAAGACACGACGACTTCCAGCCAAACAAGCCGGTTTCCGAAAAGGCTTCAGTATCATAGACCACATACATACCCTGTGGCAGATTGTACAGAAGACCGAAGAGTACAATCTGCCACTTTGCCTGGCGTATGTGGACTATGAGAAAGCCTTTGATTCCGTCGAAATTTGGGCGCTGCTACAGTCCCTTCAGCGGCGCTAAGTTGACTGTCGGTATATCGAAGTGCTGAAGTGTTTGTACAGTAGGGCTACGATGGCTATGCGAGTACAGAACCAGAGTTCGAAACCTATCCAACTGCAGAGAGGTGTAAGACATGGTAACGTTATATCCCCGAAACTCTTCAACGCTGCGTTGGAAGACGTTTTCAAGCTACTGGACTGGAAAGAAAAACAAACATTTTCGATTTGCCGACGATATAGTCCTTAATGCAGAATCGCTGGAGGACCTAAGCACTATGCTCAATGACCTCAATTGTATCTCCTAAAGGATCGGTCTTAGGATGAATATGGACAAAACTAAGATCATGTTTAACGTCCATATCACACCTATGGCAGTAGTTGTTGGGAGCATTATACACGAAGTTGTTGACGAATACGTTTACCTGGGACAAATAGTCCGACTAGGTAAGTCCAATTTCGACCGAGAGGTCAATCGACGGATTCAACTCGGCTGGGCAGCGTTCGGAAAATTACGAGACATCTTCTCGTCAGGTATACCTCAAACTCTGAAAACTGGATTGTATAACCAGTGCGTGTAGGCAGTGATGACCTATGGAACTGAGACGTGGTCCTTCACTGCTAGCTGTATGAGGACGCTTAAGTTCGCTCAGTAAGCTATGGAGAGGGCTATGCTCGGGGTTTTTCTGCGTGATAAACTTAGAAATGAGGATATCCGTAGTAGAACCAGAGTGACCGACATAGCCCAATGGATTAGTAAGCTGAAGTGGCAATAGGCCGGCCATATGGCTCGAAGAACCGATAATCGATGGGGAAAAAGATTCTCAAGTGGCAGCTTCGTACCGGTAGGCGTTAGTAAGCCGGTAAGATATGCAGGAAGTCGATGGACGCAGGTGGCTCAGATACGTGCTTTGTGGCATTACTTGGGGGGGGAGGCCTATGTTCAGCAGTGGACTTGTGAAGGGCTGTAATAATGATTATGATGATGATGACGCGACCGGACTCACGCAACAGAATGAAAGGGCACTTAGAATTGAAATTTAGCTTAAACACATACGACTTCATGTCGAATTATTTGGTAAGAGAACTTGGGAACACTCATACCCTTCATAAGATAATATTTTAAATTAATTGAACTTGTTTGGGTTTATTCCTTTGCTTTTATTTATTAGATCTAATATTATTTTCTATATTCATTGTTTCATTTTGGCAGATTGTATAAAGATAAATATAGGAATATTTTCTTAAGTTTGACCCCCTAATTTCGATAGACAGAGAAATTATATTGCAAATATATTCAGAGCTTTAATTTTCAAACAGGGGACAACTATTTGTACAGTCTACAATTAGTTGTGCCGTGAGGATTTTTGTCTTTATGCATATTATGTACATTCTATTAAACACCTCCAAGATACATTTCCAGTGTGAAAAACCTCTTAAACTCAGTTATGTATTTCCACAGTTTGCTAAATAAAAGAAGTTAGTTGTGATAGTTGAGTTAGTTATTGTAAAATACTGAATTGTAGTTATTACTGAAATGTATTTTAAAATACTGATATTTTCTGCAATATTATTTGACTTTCCCCTATCTTAGCGATTAATAACAAATTTAGTTAATAATCCTGAATCATGATGTTGATTTAGTATAAATATAATTTATTTTGTTTACTTAAGGTTCCGTCACAGTCACTTAATAAACAGAGGCATTCATTCGGGCCAGTCAAATATATCCGATGTAACGTTCAAGTTATAAGACCGGAGATAGACCTAAAGAGTGTCAGAAACACGGTTATGGTTACAAAATATTCAGATCAGAAAACTAATAATCTGCATTTTCGCTCAACTCAACAGCCAAGTTCTTTAATCATGGAGCCAAAAAAATAAAGTGGAACACATATTAGACTCTTAATACTATAAAATTACATCATCATAATACTTACAACATTTAAGCAAGAAGCATGCGGCAAGAATACCTTAGAAGAAGCGTGCAGAACTTTGAAATTAGACAGAAAGCAGAAACGGTTAGCATTTTCAGATTAGATATTACAAAAGAAAAAAAAACATGCGAGGACGCGGACATAAGGTACACTAAGACTTTATGAATTGCTACTTTAAACAAAATGAGAATTTATATTTAAAGAAATATAAACATGTTAAAATAACAAAATACCTATTACTTAATAAAATATATAAAAAACAGTGTAAGGTGCCAGTTCAGGTCACTCTGTCGTATTTAAGGCAAAAAGAAACTGGAACATTTTTAACTGAATTTTTAAACTTAAACTAAAACTAAGAGGCTGAAATTATTAATTTCCCAAATATGTGTCCATCACATGTTCAAAATGGGGCGTTACGCAAGAAACGGCCTTGTGTAATAGGCAGTAATGATCGTTATTTATTGCATGCTTGTTGATTTGGGCCCGGACCTAGATTGGGCACCGAGTGTCCGCGGCCGCGCGCCACCACCATGTTGTTCTGTTTACCAAACGCGACGCGCGCCTCTGACGTCACCACCGAGGAGCGCGGCAGAGACGAGTAAAGGTGTGTGTTGCGTTCGATATGACGCCCGTAGTTCGCTGGCGGTGTCTGAAAAATAGTATAATAGTTATATTCGACATCTTCTTCATTAACTTGCTAATTATTACTAATGGACATGGAATATTCTATGCAGGAGGAGAATTTGTCATAATAGTCACAGGCAGGTGGACAGACGATCACAATACCAAACGTCTTACATCACTGACGGTGCTCCTCTACGCCGATCTGAATATTTTACGTTTGGCGTTACCGCGGTGGTTCTATAGGAAGTATATTTTATGTACATTTTAAAATCCGAAGAAACAGAGACCTTTCTAAGGAAAATTAACTTACATAAACTTGAGATTTGCCCCTTCTCAAGATGCTTAGTAAGCAGTTTGGCAAGCATAGTGCGGATTCTGGTAAATTTGCTGCCCTTTGTTTGTGGCATTTAGCATGATATTTTGAAGTCTATTACTTATATTTCAGAGATTATCATACAAAATTGGCCAATTTTCTACAAAATAAGGATTGTGTAGTATTTGCGCTAGACAAACATTTTTGTCAGTCTATACCGACATGACATTACGCCATCCGTCGATTTCACGTCTCGTTCGTGAGGTTGATATTTGGCGAAAAATACGCTTTCTCAAACTCATTTATTCGTAAATAGTAGGCTTCTCTTATTACAGGGAAAATAGCCTTAAATGCACTCTGCTTGGAGTACCAAATGTTTTGCAACTTTAACGCTGATATCTATCGCTGCTTCACAAGATAACTTTCATTACAGCCTCACAATTTCATAATTTCATTCATCACAAGTGCACAAAGGCTTCCAAAGATTGCCACAAAACGGTCCTGAGCCACCCGCATACATCGACTACCAGCGTGTTTTATCAGGTCGTCTATTAATTTCTCTACTAAATTAAAGATATCGCCAAAAATAGCGCTTTCCAGTGCCACACGAGAACCTTTCTTCCCCATCGGTTGTCAATTTCCTAAGCCATATGACCGGCTCCCTGTCTCTTCAGCTTACTGATCCGCTGGGCGATGTTAGTTATACTTGTTTTTATGCGGATATGTTAGTGACGGATTTTATACTGTAAAGAAATTCCGAGTAAGGTAGAAATTCCCTACCCATCGCACGCTGAGTGACTTTGAGCATCCTTCTTGTTCTACAATGAAGGGCCATGTTTTGATTCCGTAAGTCATCTTTCTTATTATTTACTATCAAATTCAACAAATTTAAAACATAAGCGTGTCTTTTTACCGCAAATAGTTGGGAGATGAGATTTCCTCGAATCTAACCTCGCGCATTCGAGTCCAGGGACAAAGCAGCTCCAAAGGTGAGGCGGTATTCACGCCATGATAGCTGAATACTATTAAGTGCAAGTCCAGTCGCGAATGGAGTGTTGTTGCCATATATGGACTGGTACAGCAAACACTCACCTACCAGTTCTGGACCTACCTTATTCGTAACCACAATATGGTTAAACCCATACTTAACAGTCGCCTTTTAGTGTTTTTCAGGGTACATTAAGGAGAATGTGCACAGGGTTTGAATGACTTAATTCTTCCCTCTCCGTTTCATTATCGCAGTTGTCCGATGAAGGAACGGAGATGTAAACTTGGCTACCCTCCACCCCTTTCTTGTCTACATATCATACATTTGAACGAAACACTTCCGTTCGCCTTGCGTACAGCGAGTGGAATAATTCGCCTCTGTCTTTCCATCCGACTGCAATGTATAAGTATTTTCAAGGAAAGAATGTAAAGAATAAATGGGTTTTTGTTGAGCTAAGTTAGTGGCTTGCCATCTTCGGCAGCATCACCACTTAACATCAGGAGGGATGTTAGACAAGTACTGGCTGATAATATTAAAAACGGTACCCACCAACAAGTCCAAAATATTACATACATTAAAATACTACTTCAATAAGTTCAAGGATTACTTCTCTACACTGAATATATTTTTGATTTTTATTGAGATTACTATACTATAAAAAATTATACATTACATTTAATATTACAGATATAAAATTGGCCTATTTCTACTGTGTTATTAAAAGACCAAGCTATTTATTATAAAAGCTAGGCAATAAAAAAACATGTAACGTATAAATAAAGATGGAACTTTCAAAACAATGCCACTTCGTAGTTTAGCTGCTATCCCGATTCCCGACTAAAATGGTACAAGTAATAAGAGTTATGTTTTTATAATTAAGTAGTTTATTAGTTAAAACTAATAAAAAAGTCACTATTAGATATCTTAATTTTCCTTCATCAAGTACTTGTGTAGTAGTAATAGAGATCAAAAATGATTGTTAAACAAAATGTTTACCCTTGGCGGTGCTGGGCGTGACAATGGCATTGCGTCCGGTGGTGGCGACCGTTCTAGTACACCACGCTCCACTACTCGAAGTCGGACTTCGCTAAGTTTTGACAATAGTTCTAACTTCTGCGTCTCCAGTGATGAACGTTGCAGCATTTCCTGTAAACATTTTATTGTGTTTTTTAATATTTACAACATTATTGCAACGTCGCCACAGCGTTGTGGCTGCAGCAGGAACGGATCGAGAGAACCGAGGAACGATTATGTTTGCATGGAACCATAGTAAAAACAGAATTTTAGAATAACTTACGCGTCGCGCGAGACTTAAATGCCTACTGTTGCAGGGTTGTCACTGTCTTTTTGTTTAACAGCTAAGTCTCAATCTCATTTAGTTTTATAGTATACATAATACGTACGGATACTTACCTATGCATCATATTTGTTTATAATGTCTTTAGTTTCCTCCCAAAGAATCAATGTGTCTCAAAAAATCAGCTTTAAATTGCAACAAATGCCAAATAACTAAAATACGGGTAAATTAAAACTGAGTATATGGTATCAGCTCAGATTTCGTTTTAATTAATTTGATCTATGTGATATGATAATTAATGTACTTATAAGGTATGTACACATACACACACAGAGTATATAATATATATATATATATAAAAAAAAAATAGTATATATAATAATACTTTATATATATATATATATATATATATATATATATATATATATATATATATATAGTAATATAACCTATTAATAAAAAGCTAATTTACTTCAACAAACGCATATATTAACTTATTTTACAAAAAGAGAATATAAAACGAAAAAGAGACTGCTAGCAAAATTTTATTAAAAGTCAACAAAGTCTCAAACAAAAGTGATTGCGGAGCGCGGCGGTGGGCTTCCCCGACCCGGCCCGATCTTGCCGACTTAGCAAGTGTTAGCAAGTTGTGTGCGTACTGTGACTATCACACGCACTCGCACACACGCACGCACACAAATATCATATGCACACATATGAGTTCGTACTGGCACGTGCAAGCACGCACACATATTAATAGCGTTCGGTACATTTCTTAGAATCCTACTATTCTGTTTTTACTATGATGGAACGGATGGACGGTTACTGGAGAGTGGAGACCCTTTTTCCAAGATTCATCTTAGTCTTCAGGGATGGTAACCAACCTGTATTTTGTATAACATACCTAACTTGTTTTAATAGACATAGGTGTCTATGGACTGCACTACTTTCTTACCGTCAAGTGTGTGCTCGCTTATCACCATTACAAGTTCATCCGCTTGAAGTTGTTTGTTTGTTATACATCTATAAGTATACTGTTAATCATATATGTATGTACATAATATTATATCCAGCAATACATATTTCAAACATCATATCACAGTATATAAATCTATACAGTAGTCCGACGAGGACGTTTAGACTGGGCAATCATGCGGGGCGTGCGGGACGAGACGCGGGAAGGACGAGCCCAAGTTGCTCATGCCAATCTTGTTAGTAGCTCGGGACACGACTTTCAGGGTTAACACGTGTTTGCTTTTATTATTGATAAATTTAGTGTAGTTACTTATAATTAAAATGGTGTATAAGACGTGTGCTTTGAGAGATTGCAAGTCATCATCTCGCATAAATAAGGATCTGCGATTTCACCACGGAAGAAAGGTAAATAAATATTATTATTATTATTTTATATTCTGTATATTCTGTTATGTCATGTGTTTCGAAGTTTGATTTTTCTTCTTCATCCAAATCGTGTGGTTGGACAGGTTAAGGTCTTAGTCTTAGACCATACTATAGTGCCGCGTCTACGATCCTTCTAAGTTTTTATAAAATATTAAGGTTTAGGGGTCAATTATCAAGTTTGTCGGGGTGCTAATTACGAAAATAGCATTTATTTTTAAATGCAAGAGCGCGGTCATTTTTTATTATAATATATATGATATGGATGTCAATTTCGAGGTTTCTTAGGGTGTTGATTACTAAAATGACATATGCAAGATGGTCGACATAATTTTTTTAATATTATCGATGTCAACTTTGAGACTTCTCGGGGTGACAGTTACGAAAATTTATTAATAGGTTTCATTTATCAAATTATGGATGGAAGCTATTAGAAGACCTGATTTAGTTGGAAGAACTTTCGAAAGTCTAAAGAATACATACATTTGCAGTTTGCAATTAGAAAAGAGTATGCACTGAAGAAAACAGCTATACCAACGTTACTTTTACCAACCATCGACTATTGACGACGATGTAGATTTAAAATAAATAATTAAATTTGTAAAAGTTGTTGATTTGTGACAACCCTAGCCTCCATGCGTTGTCCAGACGTTGTCAGCATTTACCAAGAGATCAAAGGGAGCCGTGGTAGCTCAGTTGGTTAACGTTCGGAACGCGTGTAACCCGTTTTCGACTTCGATCCCCGCCGGCACCAATGAAATTGTTAATTGCAAGTGCTGATTTACCACATGCTCGGAGGTAAAGAAAAACATCGTGAGGAAACCTGCATGTCTGAGGAATTAGAAAAAAAAATATTTCGAAGACATGCGAAGTTCACTAACACGCATTGGGGCAGCGCGGCGGACACTTCCTTGCCCTAAAACCCTCTCAGAAATGAGGGGAGGCCTGTACCCGGCAGTGGGACGTATATAGGCTGTAACTTTACTTTTTTACTTTACAAAGGCATCGATCTACTGTATGGATTTATATACTGTGATCATACTATAGTGTGTCGAACATAATATTATTCAGGATAATAAAATAAAAATTACAAAGTTTGGCCGATAATATAGGACATACCATAATAAATAAGGCAGAAGGACGTGTTCTGCTCGGCAAACAGCCAAAATGGGCATAAAGTCCCAAACTTTATAGGCAATTTGAAAGATAAAACATTGTCTAGTCATAATATTGTTTGGCATCGAAAAACTAAAAAAGTAAAGTAACGTTTACGTTATCTAACGATGGCTACGAGTTTAATACAAACATAGGAACTGGTTACGTGTTTAAATAAAATATAAACAAGAAAGAGTTTTAAACATTTATACGTAAACAAGAAGCCTTTCGTTTGAATACATTATCATACTTTAATGGACGCTGTATATGCTCTTATCTCGGTTAATAATAAACGCGCCTGGTAAACGTGTAGGTGCCGCGATTGACGGACAGACGAGGCGTAAATAGGTTTAAGGAATGAGATCAACTACATTTTGTTTACTTTTATTACCTTCAATGTATGAATATAAAGTAAAGATACGGAAGGAAATATTAAAACGGATTCTTTTGGATTATTAAATTTACGACAGTATCTTTGAATGTGTTATTTGCAGTTTCCGTAAAAGAAACATCGTAGGTATGTATTTTTAAAAAAATCTTGCCATATAAAAGTGTGTTTTTTGTTATTTAAAGGTTTTTTGATATCGCTATTCTGTCTTTTATTGCACTTAATAAATTTGGAAGACAAATGGATTCAGGTTTTAATTTTAATTTAAACTATCATCTCAGCGTACTGTTCGAAAAACTAGTAACCAAACCCAATAAATCAATAATCGGTCTGGTCTGGAATGACTCACAAACTGGCCTTGCCAGTTCTATTCTCGACATTGCCTGTTTCAATAACATGATCGAAAACGACGCTAAGGGAAAATGTAACTCTGTTATGACGTGAAAACTTGTTGCTAGTTCAAACTCAAAACTGCAAGGCATCCTCGGACACACAATTTCCTTTCATTCAGAAGTGACTTTCTCATACATGCAAGTTCCCTTACGGCGTTTTCCTCACGTGCTCGCCGTCGGTAAAGCATAATTTCGGAAACAGCCTTAATGTTAACGCCGTGATTGCAATTACCCAAGAGAACATCATCGTGATATCGGCCGTTATTTGTAACAACGTAATATTTGCCAAATTTATGGGAAAATATTGGTAAAGCCTGAGAGTAGCGAGACAGAAGCAACGTACATTTAACTAGCTTGCCAGGCAGACGTTGTTCTGCCCTTTTCGACGACCCTTTGTCATGTCCTATTAAAAATTCTTAAATTCGCAAAAAAAAAAAAATTGTGGGTCATTCATGGGCAAAAAACTATCCTACCTCACAAGTTGTACCAAACTGCACACGGTGTGCAAATTTGATTAAAATCGGTTAAGTAGTTTAGAAGTCCATCGCGGACAAACAACGTGACACGTAAATTATTATATTAAGATTGTGAATGTGATTTGAAGCTAAGCCAAGCGGATAAGGATTGAACGCTTGGCTGTCACCTATACTGTTAACTAATTTAAAACTTTAAAAAGAATATTATTCACTTATTACAGGAAAGAGTCCACTGCTGTACGCAGCTGTATGTAGGTCTTCCCCATAGATCGCTTCACATGGGGGAATACTATACAATTACACTATAATACTATAGTATTATAATAATACTATTAGTATTATTATTTAATAAAACTAGTAACAATTGTCAAATCGAAAGCGTCATGATACGAAAGATATATATATATCAAATACAAAAAATAAATATCAAATATTTATACGTATATCGCTTTCGCATACATATTTCACTAACATGCTGAATATAATTAATTACACAGAAATGCCACAAAGTAATTAATAGACAACATGGGCTTTTACTTTTACTAGTTAGCATAAATTTGGACTAGATTTTTTTAACAATGTCGTATTTTCGTTGGCTAAACAACAATGTGTATGCTCGAATATCTAAACGATCACAGAGCATAAAAATACGCTTACATTAGTAAAAATGAGAAATATTTCAGCCCCTATCAACAAACAGTAAAGCACTGCAAAGCACGAGCAAAAAGGAGCGTAATCCTCCATACTACCCCACTGCGGGTTGTTGCAATAACAGAATCGGAAAAACAGTATTCTATTCTTTAAAGCCATCGTGGTGCAGGAAAAGTAGATTATGTGAAAATGAAAGGGCGAATAACAGAGTGAATCTTAATGAATAATTCCACAAAACTATTCTACTATTTACTATTCCTTGGACTATGTCGTTTTATGAATTTAAAACTTTAAATGAATTACCATAGACTAAGACCTAAGAAGTCGTATCCATCGCTAGATATAGGTGTTTGGTTATATTTTACACGATTTGAATCATTAAAAAAAAC